GAGTTTTCTGGGATTTTCTGTAATTTTTTTGAAATTGTTTTATATTTTCTGATATTTTTTTTAGAATTGTTTTTATTAAATACTAGGCAAAATATACACTGTTTTATATATATATTAGGCTTCTGTAAATCGGCATGTCTTAAGGGAGGGGGGATTCGGTGCGGCATGGCTTACAGAGCCTTGGTGCACCCAAATCAGGACCATTCTATAGTCCTAATGATATGAAGTCTATCTGGTACGGGCATGTACATAGGAGAACGGTGAGCACGCTGATCTGGGCCGTGGGTTGAGTTGGTGGATTATGGATTGATCTGATGTGGTGCAGCGCACAGAGATATGGTACGCATGGGAATCTGGACCGTTAATCTGGTCTGGTCAACAGAAGAAAGATTTGGTGCGGTGCGGCTCATGAGACCACAACTAAACGACCATTCAGTAGTTGCCAACACATGCCGAGAGTGGATCAGGCGCGTGGCAGCGCGTGGAGGTGCGTGCAACAACTGGAATAGCATATGGTGGCGCGTTGAGGTGTGTGCAAATGTGTTTGAGGTCCTGAAAAGTTTCTGTGGGGTCCGGTGACGTTCCATAATTTATTTCAAGCTTGTTAGGATTGAAATCAACCTTTAGATGAGGTGTTCTAAGAGTTATAGAGTGTTACTAATATATTTAGTAGCCTTTAATTTGCGTAAATATAATAAATTAAAGATTTATTACGGAAGGACGTGTATATATATGGTTTATTTAATTTGTGATTAGTATGAAATGAAGTTTATATATATATATATATATATATATTATGGAATGTATTATACACATATATATTATACAATATATGTGTATATGTATACATTATTTAAGATAATTAATATTAATTATTCTTATTTAATTGGTATATCTGGATAGGTTGGTTTTTAAATTGATGTTATGCGTATGATATGCATGAGATGTCTATGTGTGATTTAGTTCATTATTAAGTTTAAAATCGGTACATGGTTGAATTGTATGCATGGATGAGTTTCCAAAAGTTTAAATATAATATCTAAGAATTTGTATGAATAAAATACATATATAGGAAGCAATGGATGAGTCGCTAATTTAAATGAATAAATAAATATACTTAAGGAGGTATGGTTGAGTTGCCAATATATAAATAAATATATTTATAATAGCATGGTTGAATTGCTAAAGTATAATTTAATTGCTTTGTGTATTAGATGATTAAAATTCATCTATAGATACTGTATGTATAAATTGGATTAGGATTAAATATTCTTAAATTAGAATAATCTAGTAGTTACATATTAGTGTATTATTTTATATATATTAATAAAATAATATTGGTAGAGACATGAATGATTTGTCAAAGCCTAGGTATTGGCTGTATGATTTAAATAATTAAATTCATTATTGGCTTTTGAATTAAATACAATTTTCATTGAATTATATTTTATTATTTAAATGATTAAAAATTTATTTAAAATGGAATTAAGGTTAAAGGGAATTCTCTTTAAAAGATAAGGAGTTTGGAATTAGTTTAGGTATGATTATGTTTTAATTATGGTTTAATGGTTTTGAAAATTAACGAAACTATTAATGGATGTAAATGTTATACGGTATATAATTATTTATACCATATGCGTATCATTGTTTAGTAAGGTTAAAACTTTATCAGGTTTGGTTTTGATCAGATATGATCTGCTTATTGGTTTTCAGATGACTGGTAGAGATAACTTGCTCGTAGAGTTTAACCCACGATTTATTTTTCAAGTTATTAGAAGTTCAAGTATCAAGGTTGAGGATCCGGAGCTGGGGATGACTTATCCATTCTTTCGGTATTTATTTATTTATTTTTTTAAGTAGGATATTATTATTATTTTCATTTGAGGTTAGTATTTAATAATGAACTTCTGGATAGTGAATTTTGGTTAAGGGGTCCTTAAGTTACAGGATTCATGAGTTGTAATTGTTGGAGAATTATTAATTAATGAAATATTTATTTATTAGTTTTCTTCAACGATTTATTTATTCTTTGTTATTCATCTTTGTATTATGTCTTTGTTTAAACACTTTAATTGTTTTGATATCCCCTGATTTTGTGCGCGGACTTGATCAACCCGTATTCCGAAATCAAGGGGATCACAATAACACTCAACATGAACATTAATCATTAAACACCATTAGTGGTTTGTTATCACCAAAACATATAGATTGTCATTTGATGAAATCCTTATGGTCAACAGCGAACGTGAGCTACTTTGAATGCTCATTTTTAATGATGATGATTAAGGAACCTTATATTATATTGTAATGCATTGGGACAAGTTATGACAGCTTTAAGGTCCAATTGAGGCCTATACATTTCCCCTGTTCTTATACTAGTTCGGCAGTAGGATTGTTTCAGCGGAGTCATTCCGGCTGACCGAAATGGCATTTCGGTCGACTGGTATCTATTTTGACCATTTCCAATTGACTTGTTTCGGTCGACCGGTATAGGGCCATTTCGAACGACCGAGGTGCCACTTCGGTCAACCGATTTGTTGCCCCTCCTTACTTCTTGTTTCTTCTTTTGATTTGACCATTCATAAGTCAAATGAAGTTACCTTGGATTACTATAGACTTTATAATGACGTAATAATGATGTATTGACCTTAGATATGATGACATTGTCTTAGATGGCCTCGGGTTCGGGTGATGACCCGGTTAGTAATTCGGACCATCGGGCTCTGGTCGTTACAACGTACTTCTTTAAATAGTACATAATTTATATTTCTACGTTTTGCAAAACTTCAGGTTTGCAAGGATACTCAGTATAAATGACTTAAGATCAATGAACTTCAGGTTCACTTGGACTTCAGGCCAACAAGTTTTGCGAAACTTCAGGATCGCTTGGACTTCAGACCAACAAATTTTGCGAAACCTCGGGTTCGTACAGAGTACCAAATATTCATGAAACTTCAAGCTCATAAAGAGTATATTAATATATGCAAAACTTCGAATTTGCAAAGATTATTAAATATAACTTAGTATTTGTGAGACTTCGGGCCTAACAATTTATTTTTCTGGAAAGAATGAACTAAAATATTATAATATAAATAAATAAATAAGTATTTGTGAAACTTCAGTCTCAACAATTTTAAATATATATAAAGTATGAACAAGAACGGTTTAATATTAATAGTTATTTTTCTTACTATTTGAAGTGAGAAAGAAAAATAAAATTTTATTCTTAATTGGCAGAGTCTCGTACTGATAATGTTTTATAAATATAGAACAAAATATATCTAGAGCAAGAACTGAAGAGCACAAGAGATGAGTATGAAAGTGTGGGTTTTTGTATTACTACTTTATTTCGGGATACACCTTTCATCACAACACGCGCGTATACATAGGTAGTTTTTTTCCCCCACATTTCACTATTCTTTTCCTTCATTTCTTATTCACTTCCCACGTCTATGCACACACTATCCATACATTATTTCTTCTAAAATTAATAAGCCTATATAATTGGTGTAAAATAATGATAAATATGTGGACGCGCATCAACTTTTACAATAACTAAGTTATTCTAAGCATTATATATATATATATACACACATGATAGAACAAGCTACTTTTTAATATGAATATTAATGCTATTATTTTGACGATGGAAAATATGAGTTAAAATTATACTCCAATATTTTAGTATACATCGTCAAACTGATGTAGTTTGCTATTTACAAATGCCTTTCTAGACTTTTCACCAAAAATCACAAAATATATTGAGTTGCCAGCACAATAAACAATTATACATGGGTGGTTAAAAGCTAGTCCCTTGTTTTATTTTACACAGTGTTAAAATATTTTGTGAACAGTGGTACAAAACCAAAATACCAAATTTTTTATTTTTATTTTTATTTTGACAACTGTTTATGACCCAAAATCATATCAGTAGCGTAACACGGGCCAAAAACAGAACGCCTAAAATGTCGTTCTCAAATGTGCTTCCGATTTTTTTTCAAAACATTCCTACATCAAAAACACAGTTTTTTTTTTTTTTTTTTTTTTTTGCCAAAAAATAAAACCCCTAAAACAAAGTGCATGCCAAACGGACTCTTAAAATGACATGTGATGGCCGCTATAATTATTTAAATTAATAAATTTAGTCTTAAGAACATTTAATTGTAGAACACAGCTGGTAATATTAAATTTAGAGATTTAAGTATTGAACTCAACTCAACAAACCACTTTAGATGGTGGTTCATGTAATCCAAAATTGTGCATTATTTACTCTAAGCATTGAAATTTAAGCAATTCAATGTTAGCATTTTTCAAGAGCTATATCAGTCTTTTTGTTAACATTTTGAAATTTTTAAATTTTAGCTATCACATGTGTTCAAATAGTGTGTTTTCACTCTAAGAAAATATTAATATTTAAAAAATGTTTAGTAATTTTTTTTTTAAAACCTTTTTCAAACGCTATTTTTAATTTGATGTATTTATTTACATTGGTGAAAACAAAGGCATATTTTTTTTTAAAAATTGTTTTTTAAAATAAATTTTAATGAAATTTATATTTAGGGGTTTTTAAATTTACTTTAGGTTAAATTTAACAGAAAAGTGGTCAGAGAGGTTTATTTGCATTTTTTTTAAATTTTATAGATTGAAATACACCTTTTAAAAAAAGAGGGATACATTGTGCACATAACCTATAGTACTGGGGGGTTTTGTGCACTTAACTCTAAAAAAAATTTATATTTAGCAGTATGAACACATTTATATTTTTAAGAATGTACACAAAAAAATATTACAGTAAATCTTTTGGCACTGCAGCACATATACAATTTATCAAAAAAAAGATTTATTGGAATTTGGAAAAGAAAACATCCATATTTTTCGGGGGGATCCATGTTTCATTTAGGGTCGGGGTGGTGGGATCTGGAGCACCAAACTATGAACTGTGTGACACGTAGTGAGATCGATGAGTGAGGTCTGCAAAGTCTACTACTAGTACGACCAACTATAAAGTAAACAATCGAAAAATTCCACCAGAACAAAAACGCATAGACTCGAACTTACGGATCATACAATCAACGACCGAACCAACTTCACAACACCCCTAATCTCACCGCTTTATCACACCGAATTAAACAATCCGATCCGATCTCAGCAACGTCCGACGATCGATTGGAGAAGAAGATCTCGAAAATGAGGTCTCAAGGGCTTGATTTGGGAGCTCTGAACTGAAATGCAGTCATCAAATTCACCGCCATTAGCGTTGAGTCCATTCGCATTCAATGGTGATTTGAGCGAGGGCTTCGAGGGCACTAGCGCTTTGTTCTTCGCTTCGTTGCTGTTATTCCAAGGCGGCGGGATGGATTTATCCAAGGTCGGAGAAAAAATTCTCAGTTCAGTTCGCTCCGCCAGATCTCTCGGCCTTCTCCCTTCTACTTCCGATCGTCCCGAGGTAATTGTCCCCTGACTAACTGTGGATACGCATATATATACACACACATCAATATTGCAATTTTTGGGAATTCAGATTGAGTTAGTGAATTAAACACAGAGTAATGGGTTTTGGTTTACATTAGCTTGTTTGATTTGTTACTGTATTGTACTTGGTCTAGAGATTGAGTGAGCTACTGAAACTAAGGTGATGTTTGATAACCCAATTTAACAATTAATTTTGTATCAAATTAAGTGCAACTGATTGCATTTTGAATATCACTTAAAAAATCAGTCGACATTGCGTGTGGTGGTGCATTTGGAAGGAGACGAGTAGCATAATGTTCGAAGGGAAGGAGTCGTCCATGGCGACGCTGAAACTTCAAATTATTCGCTCTCCTTTAAGTTATGTGAGGAGGAGTTCTTGCTCCTCTTCCGATGATTTAATCAATTTTTTGGATTCTTTGGGTCCTTAGATCCCGGTTCCACTTTTGTATAAGGGATGCGTTTCCCTTTTGAACGCCTTTTATTCAATTTTTACTTATCAAAAAAAAAAAAAAAAATCAGTCGGCTAAAAATAAGTACTAAATGATTTTAGGTTTGGTTAAGGTACACCCATATGGATTTCTTAGTTAGTGTGGAATTACTTTATAGTTTCTTGGAATACCTGGATTTAAGAAGAGGTATTGGAGAGTGGAAGAATGTTACATAAATGAAATTGATACAAGTACAAGGAGGTATGTAATGTGCTATGTGACAGGTCCTCCCTATGTCAACCCACCCTGCCAATGAACAATCTTTACCATCTTCGTCACTTATTCCACGCTTAGTCCCTTCCCCGACCTCAAGATATTCCCTCAAAACTATCCCTGCGCCGCTTACCCCAAAATCAGATCATTGTGAGTGGTAACACATAACAAATTTCAAACATGAATGTTGCATGAAACATCAAAGCATCCAATGGGTAGAAGATCGAAGAAGATGGTATCTTGGTTTGGCCCCTCTCCAACATAAGCTCCAGAACAGAAAATAAATATGGCTGGGGAGACAAATATAATGATAATAATGGATTGAGGCATCTCTTACCTAGGTGGATTTATGGCTTCCCAATGATGGCAATGTTAAGGTGAAAACCATCACGACGGCGACAGAGGATGGTGGTGAACATTAGTGTTACGAACCTACGCCTAGGGCCAGTGAATCATTAGCTCAAGGTTAATGGAAACACATAATATATGTATGTCATACAAAGGAGTACAATTGGACATTTTAAAAATAACGTTGCCAAACCAAGACTCCATTACTAAGGAGAAGAAACTGAACTAGACTTGGGTTTTGTTCTCTTAGCCCAAAACCACCACTACCCCAAGTGGCTTATTTTTATAACAGTCCCAATGGGGATGGGGTAGGGCTGATACCTGGTCGGTTGGGTCACTTTGCCATCACTAAGAAGAAGACACTGAAATGCAACCTTTCATTATTATATTAAGGACAATCCTTGAAATTCTTGTTGTAACAAAGGCCCAAAGTGAAGTAAAAAGATGCATCCTATCCAACACTACTCTTTAGAAAGACTCTAACCCTAAAAGAATTCTAGAATCTCTGTAAATCCTAGTAACCCCAAATGACAACCAAGAGACCGCAGTTAAATGATGTATCTCAATTGTAGTAACCCACTAAAATAAAAAAAAAACTCAATTTGACATGCTATATATCTCAATTATTCTTTTCTAAGAATGGTCATGTATGAAATCATTTTTTTCGCTTACTCTAACAATTATATTAATATTAGAATTCTATATTCTAATGTTCAAGATAAGTCAATCTTTAGTTTTTGTTTTTAAAATTTCTCATGTTTCCTCTCTTAGGCTTTTATGCTATGTAAAATTCTTTAAATGAAGGTCTCAATGCCATATGACAAACATAAAGGATTAATGGTTTAGCTTTCAACTAACTTATCAAAAAAAAAAAAAAAAATACGGTTTAGCTTTCAACTAGTTGAATTTCTCAAAAAACAGACTAATTAATTAGAACTTTTTGAGCTACGCCAATTCTCTGAGTTTGATGAGGAGCTGTGATGACTAGGCTTCTGATTCACTATTTCCACAATTTGTCACATCTTTATTGTTTTAAGGAGTGGTGGGGCCATGATACTCTAGTGGGGGTGACATTTGAAAAAATAAATAAATATACATAATATTTTTTCTTGACAAGTTTTATGTTTTGAAAGCATTGCATGATACCTCAACATTAATGCTTTTTACATGTTAACAAAATCCTGTCCTTTTTTTTCAAGATGAAAATTTTATTGTGCAGAAAGAGCAAGATTTGGTGAAGAAAGGGGATTGTGTTTTTTGTGTACCAACTTAGGGTTGAGAAATGATAAATGGAGGCGATGAAGTTGCTTCTGGTTCATGGTAGAGAGAGATGAGAATTTTGAGAGAGAAAAGAGAAGAACTGAGATAAGAAAGGACTGGTTAAGATGTAAAGATTCTGGTAAAGACTAAAGTGTTTTTTTTTTTTTTTTTTAAAGAATAACAAATTTCGGGGCTTTATATTAAAAAATTAAACTTATAAAAGAATTGATTGAGGATCGGAGATAAAATGAGAATAAAGCGGTTAAGATGGTTTGGACATATGCACAGAAGGCCTTTAAGTGCGTTATTTAGGAAGAGAGACATAGTCCACATTGATGTTAATCCTAGTGTAGAAGGAGTCCAAAGTTAATGTGGGTAGAGTTGGTATGGAGGGATATGATAACATGTGGTTTGACCAAGGTCATGTACTTAGATAGAGTGGAATGGAAAAAAAGGATTCATGTAGGCGATCCTAGGCAGTTGGGAAAAATGCTTTAGGTGGTGTTGTGAAAGAATTGATTTGGGGCCCCTGCCCTCATTTGTCTCAGTGTGGCTCTGCCACTGGTTTTAAAGCTTAAAAAGAAAAAAAAAGTTACGTGTAAATGATAGTCTTTTTAAGGCTGTTGTTTGGTGGACCAGTGTTTACTACAATATTTAGTTTTACCTTTTCGACATGTATAAATGCTAATAGGAAGAAAGCTAAAATGAGGGTGATCTCATTGAGCTTGCGCCCTCATTATAGACTTGCTCTTGCTAATAAAGTTTTGTTCTAATTTTACAAATTTGATTTAGATGTTAATTTTTCTTGCAGGTCCCAGCACGAGCTGCCGCTGCAGCAGCCGTTGCTCGTGCTCTTGCTGGATTACCTCCAGATCAAAGCCATGGTCTCCTGTCAAGCTCTGAAGAATTGAGTTCAATACATGGAAGCAGGCCCCACAGTCAAGTAGTGGAGGAGTTGGAGGACGAATTTTACGAAGAGGTTTTACTTGCTTATTATTGTCAAATTGGTTACACTGTGGTGCTTGCTGATGTCCTGTATTTCCAATGATTTAATATAATACAGATCATATTATAACTAAGTTATTCATATGACTGTAATGGTTTAATTGGTGTAAAGAGTGCTAATGTTTTCTATTGTCTGGGACGAGTACTCCTGTAAGTAGTCATAGTTGTATTTCAAAGCATCTCTACTTCTCTAATTAAGAATGTTATTGCTTTAAAATTTCCAAAATTGGGGAAAAGTGCAATCAATCATGAAATTGGTGGAGACTTAAGACTTTGGGCATGAGTTTGGTCTCTTTTAAATATATTCTGATTTGTGCTTACATCTATATTTTGATTTGCACTTAGTTTACTTCTATATCTGATGGTCAATGAGTTCACCATCTTTGGGTTTGAGTTGACTGCTTTTGGTTGAAATGTTCACGATGACCAAGGAATCTGATCAGTTATAGTTTAAGGAAGTGGGCCCTCGTTGTGTTTAAGCAGGGCGCTTGATCCTGTCATTAGATGGCTATGTATGTATACAAATATATTTGGGTTTCATGTCATTAGATTCTAGCGTGAGTTTCGTACCTAGGAAAAAAGTTAGTATGGGTAATTTGGTGGTTTTGATGTTCTAGTTTAGTCATTTTCTTTGTTTTTATCAGTCACTCAATATATATCTAAGCTTAATTTTCTACATAGTGGTTTCTTAGATTTCCTTTATGATTTTGATCATCGATAGACAAACTTCTGAACAAAAAATCATTTTTATTACTACCAAGGCTCTGTGTGTTTCGAAGGAAGTTTCAAATGGAATTGTTTTTGGACAAGAAAATGGAGTTCAGGAGTAAAAAAATACATTTTCCCAAAGCTATTATGAAGACGTACTAATCTCCTTAGCTTCAAAATAATTGAGCCTTATACAGAAGCAAATTGTTTTCAGAAAAGATTTTAATTACACAAGCGCAGATTAGAGAATAAAATGATTTTTTTCTCTTTCTATAGTTTTATTAATTAAAATGAGAAGAAAAGGGGTAAAGCCCATGTTGTTGTGAGGTCTACACCAAAAATTAAATAGGGAGAAAGTTTAATACCTTGAAGGAGTTGTTATACTCCTTTCGGGATGCCCGAGGGAAAATCTCACCTTCAGTGCTTCCAAAGGAAAAACTATCTAGGCCACCATAAAATAGCAAGTAGAGCTCCTAGCTGAACGTCCATCTATTTCCCTTCCTTAAATTGAACTCCCTCAAGCCAAAATCAAATCTAAGGCCATCCTCCTCAACATCATGAGGGTTGATTTTACTGCATTCATCACCAGGTAAGAGAGCTATCTCCGGAAGCGACATTGGCCCAACATCTTTTTTTTTTTTTTTTCCTGAGAATCTAACTTCCCAAATTCTATCAGTTATCAACGTTCGTAGTATTTTTCTTTTCTTCTGAAGTTTAGGTGATTTTGAACTTAGTCATTGAGACAGTTGAGAGGAGATTGAGAGGAGATTAAGTCATTAAGTGGTTAGAAGAAGGTTTTTATATCTGAAGGTTGGAAGCTAACTCTGTTTCCCACCTTATTAGTGAGTTTGCCACATCTTTTCTTTTCTTTCTTTTTTTTTTTTTGGTCTATGCTAAAGATTCTAGCGCCATCATGAGGTTCAAAAAATATTAAAGTTGATCTGTATTGATGTGAATCACAATGCTTTAGGTAAAATACTAATAAAAAATTTCTAAGGACAGAAGAGAAAGGTAGTGATGTGGAGGTATGGAATCAGTAAGAGGTTATTTGGGGGTTGTTAAGGAAACTCAGGATACTCATGGTGTTGGTTTTCTGAAAGCTATAATTAGTAGCTGTGAATGCTTTTTTCTCGGTTGATAGACTCTTGGATATTCAAAGAGCCTTGTCTATTCTATATTTACTACCCAGCAGCATGCTCTTGCTATTATGCAGCTTTCATATTATTTTTGACAAGCAGTTGTTTTTGCATCTGCTTTTTTATATTCAGTAAAATTCTGGGGTAAATGATTGAAGCTGCTTGAACTGCATTTATGTAGGAATTTGATCCTGTAAGACATGTTCTAGAGCATATTCCTGCTGAAGAAAATGAGCTTGCATATTTTGAGGAAAAGGTAGTATTCAATTTCTTATGTCATTCTATTTCTCCATTCTACTAATGGTATTTTTAATTTTAGCGTCTGTACTGGGGCTTTTAGTTGTCCATTGGAAATGGAATTGGCTCTTTATGCTTCAAATGGGCTTTGAAAATTGTCCATTGTGTCTCATTTATCATTTATATATGTTTTTTTCTTCATAATTGTTAAAGATAAGGCATTATGGTATATCCCAAAAGATCGTTATTTTCTTCCCTTTTTAGGTAGTGTGTTGATGAACCCATGCTAAAATCTTACATTGTGTTACTGTTTGATGTATTTGGGGACACATAATATGCATTTAAATCTAAATTTATAAAAAGAGTTCCCGAACTTAGTTTTTTTGGTGCTGTGTAACGCTTATGGATTCTTCAACTGTATCATGACTGGCTTGTGTCCTCTTAATTTGAATGCATGGTCATGAAGTTCAGTGTGCAACAATTGGATGTATGCCTGGAAGTACATCAGTCTAATTCTGCCGGTGTGTGGTATGGCCTAAGGTGGACTGATAGTTTGTTGACTAATAGTTTATGGTCGGTTACCAGCAAAGATTGTCCTCTTGCACTAATTTCATTGTTGCTTTTGCTCATAGTTGGTGATCTCTGCTGGAATATTTTCCATAATTAATACATCTTGTTTATATTTTTATTTCATATGCTTCCTCTTGGATTGTTTCTAATTTATGTGGTGGTAGTTTCATGCTTCAATTTATTACTTGATTTATTGATGTGGATTTTGAAGCATTCGAACTTGGGTCTCTCTCTCTCTCTCTCTCTCTCTCTCTCTCTCTCTCTCTGAGGGTGAGGGGGATCAAACTCTTTATAAGTGGGACCTGGTGCTTCATCATCATAGAGTATATTCTGTTTGAGATCTCTATTTAATTCATTATTTATGGATCAAATTGTATTCCACTCTTTTATAGGCATCTCTTAGATTAGCACAACTGGATATGATCTCAGAACGTTTATCCCACCATGTTATGGAGCATCATGAAGAAATGGGTATGTTTCTTGCTGGAGCCTACATATTTATCATTGGTTGTTTTTAAATATGATTTTTTTTTTTAGCCAATATGTCCACAATTACGATTAATTATATATCTTGCAGATGGTTCTAATACTAATTTTGTATTTCTATGATATTTATCTTCCAATAAAGCAAGTTCTTTATCTTGTTCTGCACGTATCATGATTTTTTTAGCAGTATTGAGCTTGGAAGCACGGACACTTCTCCTAGGGGTGCTGTGGCGGTATCAAACACTTGGACATGTGTGAGACACTGCCTGGACGCGTGTCCGACACAGCTAGAAATGTCCTGAAACCTGAATATATATATATATTCTGATTGGACACGGCTAGAACATGGCAAGGACATGTTCGGAGACACTTTTAAGACACAATGGGGGTAGTTATGTTATTATTTTTCTTAGAAGAATGTGATTCCAATGTAATTTTAAAATATATTATGGGTTAATTAGAAAAATAATATAAAATTTTAGAAAACAAAAATAATAGACATCTAACTCTAAGCTCCAAATTAGCGATTTCATTCATTCAAATTAGCAATCCAAATTGGTGTTTTCTCAGTTGTATATGGGATGCGCTTCTCGTTTGATTGCTTTTCTATGAATTCTTTACTTATATATATTTTTTTATATTTATATATATTATATTATTATTTTTGACGTATTCCTGTTGTATCCGTGTCCTAATTTTGAGATTTTCCGCATCGCTGCGTCCGTATCATGTTGTACCCGCGTTCCATGTCTATCCGTGCTTCCTAGGTTCTGAGTGTGCACATATTATAGTATCCTACAATTATGTCATATAGTGGCATTTTCTTATTCTCACTTTAATAGAATGATTACAAGCATCATGAGTTTTAGTATATTTCTTTACCCCCCCTCTCTTTTTAAATCACTTTGTGAACATTCAGACTTTGTACATGCTCATTAATGTCTATCTATAGTTCTATTCTGTCTGAATGGATTGATATATGTTTGATTATTTTGCAAGGAATGCTGTGCAACTGAAGCACCACTTGATATAAATATATTCTTTGTTGGATGCTTTGCTGGTCTTTCTGCAAGGAGAGGACTAGGCCATTTATAGAATCTGTCTGACTCAGCCATAGTGGAGTTTGACAAAAAGCACCGACCCAAAAGTTCATATTCCAACGAACACTTGATTAAGAAATTATAGAGTTCCTTTTAGTCCAAGTTCAATCCAAATAACTTGTATCAGGGCCAAGAAAACACATTGCCAAGGGACTTCTCAAAAACCAGTACTGGAACCTTCATAGGAAATTTTCAGTAGTGAAAGAAAATTAAAAGGAGTAGCACAATGCATCCCATAAAGTGAGAGATAAGATGAATACAGACATGGCTTGAGGCTTCTTAGTTTTTTCCCCCCCTTATTTTTTATTTTTTCCCTCAAAGAGAATAAATATCTGGGAAGGGCTTTATGGGGCTCTTTCAAGCATCTTGTTATTGTCGGGGTTGATGTGAGCCACTGATTAAAGCAAACACCTTAACTTTTCTGGGTAGCCTAAGTGATCCAACAAGCTAGCCGAGTGAAAGAGAGAGAGGGGGCGAAGGTGTTATTATTGTGATTTAGGGAAACAAAAGTAGGATAATAGTGGAGAGTAAACCACTTCTATCCAAGCTTCAACTTTACTGATTGCTCATCCAGGTTGTGAAGAAAAGACACATCTTCAAGAAGATCAAGAGGAGAGGCAAGTTGTCAATTATTCAATCATATTGGTTTTAAAAGAAGTCAAGATTCCACTGGAATGAAGATTTGAAATGAATCATAAACCCAATGATGGTAGCCCCATGAAGATGTGAAACCCTATTGGGAGGAAAAGAGTTTCCTTGAGTTATTTAAACCCCACTGCAGATTCCCTGAAAAATGAATCGTAGATCATCTCGAGTGAAATATCTAGTGAGGAGAGAAATTGAGGTAACCTTGAGAGACGCCATTCCAGGAGTAGTGATGAGTATCCTGAGAAGCAAGATTAGCATTATAACCATTTTTGGTATCATAGAGGAATGGATTGAATTGTTTTTCAACATTAACCAAGTTTGGTCTATTTTTGTATGACACAAGAAGAAAAGACGAAAGAAGGAAAGGAGAAAGAAGAGAGAAGAGGTGAAGAATTACAGAAAGGAGATGAAGATGGAACAACATGGTACAGTGTGGTGGCTACATTGCGCAGCTTAGAGTGCTACACTCATAACAGTGCCAATCAATTATTTTTCCATGAGAATATTTTTCCAAATTTTGGTGACCGCATTTAAAAAACATCCTGGAATGGGAAGAGATTGGCTTTCTTTGCTCTCTGATGTATTTAACTGATTTCTTTGGAATTATCAATAGAGGACTCTTCCAATTATGGTTTTACGATGGGGAAGAGCTTCTAATTTATATTAAATATGCATTATACCAATGTTTTAATTGATGCTGTTACATTGCTTAGTGTTTGAATTTATATATCAGATTCTTTTTTTTATTAAGTAATATATACCATAGGTTTTTTCATTTACTTGCTTATCAACTAAAGAACAAAAAAGAGAAAAGTATTCTGATGATATGTTCTACTTCCATCCTCCTCAATGCATGCGTTTGATGATATAAATGTTACTTATGCTATTAAAAAGGATAAATTTGAGGGAGTTCTATTTCCTTTTTTTCTCCCCCGCAACCTTTCTTGGTGGTTGGTTATCCATTTTTTTTTTTTTTTTTTTTTTTTTTTCAGTTTATATCTGAATTTAGCAGTCGTTTCTAGTTTCTATAGCTGTGTTAGCAGTCTTCTTTTGTTTTCCAAATTGTATTAACTCTATTTGAGGTGTTGATAGTGGTTAATTGTTATTGGCCAGTGAAGGGGATGCATTTGGTAAGGGAATTGGAGAAAGATTTGAAGGTTGCAAATGTCATATGCATGGTAAGCAGGTGATGCTGTTGCAGTTAGATATCTGAACCCGCTTTAATTGAATCATACTTGTAATTTTAGTTGTTAAAGGCATTTACTAATTTCTTTAATGAGCCATTAATTTAACTTTCGCACATGATTTAATGGTTCTCTGCTGCACACTGATCAAAGTCCTCTTCAGTATGTAAATTAGGAATCCACAGAGGGGCTTTATAATTGAGAGGTGCTCTGGGATCAAAACAGTTGACAAAGAGGCTAAGCTTAAAATGTCCTTGCATTCTCTCTGCTCTAGAAGTCAAAGATGACTTTCCTTTAAAGGCAGATATATATTTCTTGATCTCCTCCCCTCTTCTTCATTAACTACAGAACCCTATTTATCTGACTTATTCGTCCCTCTCTAGAACCACTCTATTTTTTTTTTTTCTTTTTCTCTCTTGTCAGTACACAGTATCAAATCTATTTCTCTGTCCTTTTGAATTAGTACTACACAAATTCCTGCCATGTTTCTCTTCCCCCCTTCTACTTTGTTTATGATACCTCTTCGGGTCTCAATCTTCTACTGTTTTGGATTCTATCGGTAGAGTCTAAGAATTGTTGTAGGATTCTGATTACTGGGTATTACTGCAAGTGGCCCTCTTAATCTCTCTTTTTCTGATTGTTGCAATGGCAGTATCTTCCTCTTTTTTTATTTTATTTTTGGAGGGGCCATAATGTAATTAAAAATTTTACAACATAAGTCTAGGGTGCTCTTATTGGGCTCACATCCTCATAACCATTGGATCAAGAAGCTAACCACATAGTCTTGCAATCTGACAGCTATAAGGTCGCAAGCATAATAATAGCACTATCACGATAGTTTTTTCTTTATTTTTAATACAACATAAAAAATGAGAGGATCTAAATATCAATGATGGGGAACAAGCTTGCAGCAGAAGGACAAACATCTCTTCTCTCTCTCTCTCGTTCATATCGATAATAGATCTTATAATAATAATATATTTATATATACATATATATGAATTGAATATTGATATGTTAACTATCGTAATAATTGATTGCTTTTCTTCACCAGATTTTAACTTTCTAAAGCATGACTTCAAAGGTCCAAACTAAAATTCTTTATGGATTTTGGAGCCAGATGTAATTTTTTTTTCACACTCACCATTAAAGGGACCCGTATGTGAAGGTTTTGAAAAAAGTTTGGGAGGAATGGGGTAGCCCCAATGTAGTTCCTCTTCCTCCCCCTGGCCCTGTGCTTATCTCATGTTATTGATCTTAATAATTATGATAACTGATAAGAGTTATAGGTTCAAAGTCTGGATGATTGTATCCCATTATTGTAAATTTAGAATGATATATATATTTTATATTTTGCGTGTTATTTAGCACATGCACCTCACTTTGCTTATACCTGCCTTGAGTTGCACCTTGCTTATGCCTGCCTAGTCTCCAGGAGACTCTTTGTGCATAGTGTGCCTTGAGCATGAAACTGCTATGCCTGTAATAAACAACTAATTTTATTATAATGAAAAAACTTCAATTGATTATTATTTTTACTGTGATTATATTTATTACTGTCATTATTTTTGATAATGATGAACTTACAATTGCTAGTAAGAGTGAATCTATGGTATTCATTAGATTTATTCATTTGGTATGCGCAGAATGGAAGAAGACACCTTATCTCATCAAGGAATGAGGTATCAAGGGATCTCATTGTTACTACAAATTCCAAAAAGAAACAAGCACTTTTGGTATTTCTCTTTCTGTGGAAAACTTAGCTGTATCAGTCTTATTTTCACCAAGCATTAATTAGTTACTAGGGACATGTTGATATATTGAGGTCCATACGTACTGTGCAACTAATCTGTTAAATATAACTTATTGATTTCCACTTAGGGTCTCCATTTGTTTTGCTGAAAATGGTTCTGGAAGAAATGTTTGGATTGAAAAATTGCATTTCAAATTGTTCTAGGTTTATTTTTTCCTCTTTCTGCTTCTTCTGATATGACTGTATAGAACTTTCAAGCTAATTGAGATTGTCTTGTCTGTTTTAGCCATATCTGTGAAATCTTTGGAGAAGCTTTATGTGCACTAATATTTTGTTAAAACCTCAAAACTGTTATATCTTGCCAAAGTCACATGTAATGTTTTCCTTTTCCAATGGTTTAATATTTTTTGAAAAGCAGTGTTTAGAACCTTGGATGAGCATCCTGGCGAGCTGGTTATTTTCTTTTCTTATAATTATGCTAAATAGTTTCTTTTCCTTCTTGCATCATGTGGAGTTCAGAGAAGAGCTTCTTCTTCTTCTTCTTCTTTTTTTCCCCTTTGGGCAACCTTTAAGTGTTTCCTATGTTAGTAAGTGTTAAGGAAGAACTTTGGTTTTGACAGGAGCAGTTCTCTCAATTTATCTTTAAATGTTGAAAAATAGATTACATAGAAAAGATGCAAGTTGTCTTGAGTTTAAATATCCTTAGCTTCCAAAGAGTCAAATATGGACATTCAATCTGTATAAAAAGTAGTTTTTAGTATTCAAGTTAAGGGGAAAGGTTATGTTTCATTGAACTTGCTTTCTCTTTGTTTCTTCTCAATGTGATATTCTCAGAATTCCTGCATAGTGTTGGTTATGTAATAATAGTCGAGTCATTATGGTTCTGAGTTTAGATTGACTTGAATTTCTGGGAACCTTTTTTGGAATTGATGACATGATAAATTGATATGATCTGATAAATCACACCACCATATAACAAATATTGCAACTTGCAGGACATGCTTCCTATTTTAGCTGAGGTTCGTCATGCATTGGACATGCAAGTGGCACTCGAAAACCATGTTGAGGAAGGAAACTTCTGTAAGGTGAGTTATCTAGTTTTAATATTATTCTCTGTACTATGCATCTTAGTCCCTCAATTCTTTTGTTTTTATTTATTATTTATTATGTGTATATCTCACAAAAAACTTCTGCTAAACACTCACTTCATGTGTTGTGCAGGCGTTCCAAGTCCTATCTGAGTATTTGCAGCTTTTAGATAGCTTGTCAGAGCTTTCAGTCATACAAGAGATGAGCCGTGGTGTGGAGGTGAATATTGACAAACTATTAGTAACCTTTTTAAGTCAAACATGTACCAGATTTCTTTCTCCGTTTTTAGTACATACTTTCAGCATTGCTAAGCCATCTTTTCAGTTCATTTTTAATATTATATGACTGTATTATTAGATTTCTTCACTTCAGAGTAAACATTTTCCCATTTTACTTGTCTGATTGTTCATATACTCTGGGTCTTTTTCTTGACACCCTTGCAGGTTTGGCTGGGAAGAACTCTTCAAAAGCTGGATTCGCTTTTGATAGGAGTTTGTCAAGACTTCAAAGAGGAGTCCTATATAACTGTCAGTGCATCAGCCTTTTACTGTGAAATAAATCAGTATTATTTTTGGAAAGTGGAGTGCATAAGTTAGTTGAATTCTGCTTATTTGATACCCTTCTGATACAGTGACTTTCTCAGTTTGATTTTCTTTTTGTCTGTCTTCAAATTGCTGCTGCTTTGATTTTTTATTTATTCAGTTCCTAAATTTTATATTTCTATTTGTTATTTATCTGTACATGGGCTGATATGACGAAGACTGGGTGATTGCAATTGTATCAACTGGTATTGATATGGATTGGCTGCCAGTCTGCATAACATGTTGTAGAACTGTCAGGATGTTATGGGGCTTATATGATTCGTAAGCATTCTTTATATAAGCCAGCTCCATTCACTGTGTTGTCATGGTTAATTCTTTGGCAAAATGGTCAATGTTCGACTCTTGTTCTGCTTTCGTACTCCACTCAGCACAGATCAGTCATTACTGTTATTAGCTTTGGTTTAAATACGTGCACTATTTTTTTTTTTGCATCAAAACCATGGATTAAGTCAGGCTATGCAAAAATTTTGATTATATTTAGGTTCTTTAGAGTTAGTTTCCCTTTGAAGGTTTTGTTGTTTTGATTGATATTCAGTACCAGTTACGATTTACTCATTTTTCAAAATTTTAGCCAAACTGAATGTTTATTTCCATGCTTAAGTTTCTGCAAAGATAACTGTCTTCCAGGGGCGGTTCAATCACAAGCGACTGATACACTTGACTAAGGCCTCACGGAGATGACACTCCATAAAAAGGTCCCATATAGATAAAGTTCAATAGAAAGAGTCCATATAGATATGGTTAATTAGATTTTCACATAATTTAGTTATAGGTTTCCTTCGTTAATGATAATAATTGATTGAATTCCACATGTGCTTTCTCTCCGATTTTATAGATTGAATTGAACTGGGTAATTATCTGATAGACTTCTTCTCTAACTATCTCTCTTTTCCCACATCTTTTCTTACTCTTCTAAAATTCTTCTCATTTGTTATTATAATATTTTCTTCTTTTTTGGACTCCTTTTAATTGTTTAATTAGAAAAGTTTCTAAAATATATAGACTATTAATATTATTTATGTTAATATACGGAAAATAAAAGAAAATTTTCATTGAATTTATTGCTTTAGGCCTCAATTTGTATCGAGCCGGCCCTGCTGTCTTTTAATACTACTCTACTACAATTTGTTTTTGTATGTTGAATTTATTAATTTATAATTGGAAGTTAACGATTTTTTTGATATGCTGTTTCGCTCTGTGCTTATGTGGACATGCAGCTTAGGTTCTCAAATTTAATTTAATTTATTTTTATTTTATATTTTTCATAAGCAGGTCGTTGTATTAATTGTCAAAAATTTTGCAGTCAGTACAAAGTATATCAGTAGGGGTATACCCCCACAATACAAGCACACCAGTTTTCAATTTATGTACGGTGTCATTATAAAACTTTAATATATTGATAATGATTAGTTATCATGCATTTCCAAGAATAATGGTCGCAAAGAGAAGCAAGCTTCTAGAAGCAACTTTCATGGTACATGAGGAGTCAGTTGTGATTCTTGCATGGGGGTAGAACACAAGTTAGTTGCAAGGATCTTCTATTGTGGATGACACCTTCGGTTTGGAACCATAATCTTAAGCTTTCTTTTCAAGATCTTCAAAGACGTTCTCTTGTGATAAACTGCTGTCGTATCATGCTATAAACAAATAATTCAAGACATTCAAAACTTTAAGAAACTTCTTGTGTTTCATTTTTGTTGCAGTTCATATTGTAAATTTAACATATTAAGGGCATTCTGACTGAGACAATTTGATAACAAGAGCTGGGATGGTTAAAATAAGAATGCATTCTTAGTCAGAAATTTTATTTGAAACAAAAAGCTATTATCTAATAATTTTCGTAGAGTACTTATCTTTTTTTCCTGAATTCGTAGAGTAATTATTGGTAAGTATTAGTATTATATTTGAGTTGAAGTGTATTTTCTTACTATAAATCTTCATTATTCTATTACCAAATTGTAGAATTTTTATTCTTCTGATTAGAACATATGTGCATATGCAATATACAGGTATACATTACCCAAACCTTTGAATGCCTTTGGGACAAGCATATCAAGGACCTGTTCTTTTAGTTACTTCTACTTCTGATTTGTGCTTCCAAGGAACCTGGTAACAAAAAATGGAATACTCTGACATTACCATTGTGAGCTGTGAAATGTTAAACGACAACTGAGACAAGTAAAAAAGAGTGATATATGAAATACGAAATGAGGGGAATATAACATCAGGATACAGGTGCGTAAAGCACATAGAGAAATGGAAGAATGATGAAGTTAAGAACATTTACTTCTTCATTAACTTCAGTTCTGTGATTTAAATATCTGTTGGACACATATTTAACTCATTACTCCATGGTTATTAAAAGAACCCCCAGGTGCAGAAAAGCTCCAGGCTCTTCATAGTCTGCTGAAGCCTCTTAACTTACCATAGGCTAGTCCCCATCAATCAGGTGTGTAGATGAAGGGCTGTGCACTTTTACTGCTCTCTAGACTTGAAAAAAGGTGTCTTTGTTTTTCAATCATTCACTCATATATATATATATATATATATATTATATTAACTTTAGTGTCTGTTAATTGACATGCTCTATATCACATAGATTAATCTTCTCAGATGTATGACAGGATCCATGAGCTAATGTTTGACTGCTTGCATTTGATATGTCTAGAGCTTGATTCCAAATATTTATAAGAACATAATATATATTTAAAATCTATATGATTATAGCCTTTCATTGTTGCAGATTATGCATGTGCATTGTGAAAGTACGTATGCACATTGATATACTCTTCCTTTGATATATAAAATAATGGTAAAATAAAATAATGCCTCTTTCTTTCCTTCGGCCTTACCTGCTGAACCAAACAAAAGGTGGTATGGGCAATTTCCTTTCCCTTGGGATACCTTTTCAATCCCTCATACCAATCAGAGCATCAGAATTTGGCCTTAGTAATACGGGTCTGGTGTTTGTTTTTTCCCCAATAAATCAGCTATAGTGTTTGTTTCTGTCACGGATAGTGGGAATTTTGGGTGTTTATTTGTTATTCTCTTAGAAAATATCTGTTCTTTAGAGATCTTAATGTGGATAATATATATATATATTTAAATGGATGAATTTGGATTCTATACTTAGTTTTGGACAATTTTCTTTTTTACTTTTGTGTTATAACTCGCAGCAGGGAAGTTATATAGAAACCCTACAGTTTGAAGTTTTTTTATTTTAACTTAAACTGTATTGTCAAATTTAGGTACTGTCTTTGAACTTCATTAATTTTCAAGAGTATAGGAATCATCATTAAAATCATTTGCTGTTGTTTGAAGTTAGCTGTTGTTTGCCGTCTAGCAGAAGCAAAAGCTCTTGCTGTTCCTTTTAAATGTTATGGACTGCTTTCATTTAAATGAAGTCAGTAAAGAAATACTCCTATTGCTTAATCTGTTATCATTTTTCTTTATCAATCTTGGTTCTTTGATTTTCTTTTGGGTGCAAACTTGAGGTTGATTTGAAAGAGTTTTGCAATTCACAGGTGGTCGATGCTTATGCATTAATTGGGGATGTTTCTGGTCTTGCTGAAAAGATACAAAGCTTCTTTATGCAGGAGGTTCTTTCTGAAACACATTCTGTTTTGAAGAGTATTGTGCAAGAGGTACGTTGAGGTAATTAATATATTTTTGAAGCAGTAGGAGATAAACATGGGGAAAGAAATGGGATAATTTTCAACATTTTGATGTTAATAGACTGTTTATAAAACTATTATTTTGACTGACCATTTATGAGGGTGAATAAACTTTGTTTTGCTCTTTATTGATACCTTTTATCCATTGCGTTTTGACACACTTCAATTTGTAAGAGTTTTTCACCATCTTCTTTATGGATTATGGGAATACCGTGGAGCCAATTCTTTTTCAATATAAATATATGTGAAACTGAAAATTGAGAAATGATATTCATGCTCCACTTCCTGCCCCTAAAAGAGGAATTGACACAGTAATCCTTCTAAAGCACTCTCACCCTTCACTTTTGTAGTGCGAGTGTACAAAATTGGAGTGCCAACATCATATCCTATTCTGAATATGCATGATTATGTGATAGTTGTGTGTATGCAAGAAATAACAAAGAACAAAACTTTTGTTGACCACTACTTCCAAAAATCCCCCCCCCCCCCCCCCCCCCCAAAATCACTACTTTCAAAAATTGCAACTACAGAAAACTATGAACTAAAAACGTTATTTATTTATTTGTGATGTGGCCCGAATTTGGTGCCGGGTCGTGTTGAGACCCACTTACGACCCGGTGACATGTTGGATGAGTTTTTTTTTTTGGACCCGTTTTTTGCTCATGGGTCGTGAACCCTAATTAGTCTCTTGTAGCCCGATATATAAGGGCGCTTAGGGTCTGGAGTGGTGTAACAGAGAGACTATGAAATTCATACAAAAGTATAGTGGAGCTGAAAACTTGTAATTTCCGATTTTACACTTAGTGAAGACTTTTGCCGGATCCCAACGGTGGACATAGGCTGTTGCTGAACCGAGTATAAATCTTTGTGTTCTTTGTGTAGTATGTTTACTTTTCTGTCGTGATTCTTGGTTCTATCTTGGATTCGTTGCGTTTTTTGTAACATTAATATTAGTAATGGTTCATTGAAGTGCGCTCAAGGGAGGTGCGCATCCCAAAAACATGTTGCAGGGATACTGTTGGCTCAAAACAAGTTGGGACCACCATCGCCTAATACCCCAGAAAGAAATGAAATGAAAAGTTCAATTTGTATCTGTTCCATTCTCTCTGTGCGTGCACACACAAGCACTTTCAGCTTGTTGAATCAAACTGCAATCCCGTATTGATTATATCATTTGTGAATTCATGTTCATGCAACATTTCCTAAGCAATTAAAAAATCCATCACTTCTTTCTTTCTTTCTTCTATAACAACCTTGCTATTAGGTTTTAGACCTTTATTTTAGAGATTATTGCTTGTATTTTCTCGCTTTCTTATTGAATGACATCCTCATTAGATGATTAATTTGATTTGGCAGGATCTGGAAGCTCCCAATACGCAAACTAGTAGGTAAAATTTTTATGCTTGACATCCGTTGTTTGGTTTACATAACAGCTGCCTCCTGTTCTGATTTGATTCTTGATTTATCTCCAATTTCTGGTTCCAGACTTACCTACAGTGATTTATGCCTTCGGATACCTGAATCGAAGTTTAGGCAGTGTTTGTTAACTACACTAGCTGTCCTTTTTAAATTGATGTGTTCATATTATGCAATCATGAGTTTTCAACCAGAGAATAAGGTAATTTTCATCACTGTTACTATTGCATTAGTCATTTGTGTTAATTATTCTGTTTATATTTTTAATTTTGATTACATATTATATTCTGCTGCATTGACTTCAATCTCGTATTATCATCTTCTGATCTTTTTTTTTTTTTTGGCAAGAACCACACACACCCACTAGGCCACAAGGCCCTTGTTTATCACCTCTTGATCTTTTGCTCTCTTTTTTACAAAATCTAATTAATGGTTATGTGCTCTTGGCTAATTAATTCAACTCATTTTTTTTATTCTTATTTATGGCTTTTAAGCCTTTTTTTTATTTTTTATTTTTTATTCCTGAATGGGGTATTTTATATAGAGAGAAAAATTACAAAACAAGGAGGCGGCATACCTCCTTATACAGAAACAGAAATGGAGAAAGCCCATTTCCAGTAGTTGCCAAGAAATGAAAAACAAAAGGAGCACATCATTAGGAACTGAAAGCAGCTACAAGATCCAGAAGACTAATGTTGAGATATGACAGAACATCCCACACAATAGCCTTAGCAAGATTTGAGGCTTGATCCCTAACCCCAGTGTGAAGAGAAGTATTCCTTGCTGACCAACTTTTACATGCTTAAATGTCTAATTCGAGCACTGAACTTAAGCCCTTTTCTCAAGTGACTGGATTGGGCATATGAATCCATGGTGAGCACATTAGCAAGGGGCATTAAGTTTAATTACGACACTTTTTGTACTTGAATATTTACAAGTCATTAAGGGGTATATTGGTACATTGTAAGATTAGTGTTTCTAAGTATTTAGGTTCACTGACATTTAACAATCATTTGGTTAACCCCAAGGGGTTGGCTCAAGTGGGTAAGTTACTTGGCCCTGGTGCCTCAGGAAGTATCAGATCTAAGGTTCTACTCCTCTAGGGTGGAAACAACTCCTTTGGGATTTTTTTTTTTTTTTGGGGGGGGAGGGAGGGGGGGTGTGTGTGTTTGGTTTAGTTCATTTGGTTATAGGAATAGTTAATTCTAATTTGGGACTGAGTGAGTTCTACTATAGAGTTTGAAAAGTCCTTTGTGGTGAAAAGTTTTTGTAGTAAGAAGTTCTAGTTTTCTTTAGGCTTTTTTTTTTTTTGGGGGGGGGGGGGGGGGGGTGGTGTTTGGTTTAGTACCAACTAGGAAAAAAAAAAAAAAACGTTCATTTGGTTATAGGAATAGTTAATTCTAATTTGGGACTGAGTGAGTTCTACTATAGAGTTTGAAAAGTCCTTTGTGGTGAAAAGTTTTTGTAGTAAGAAGTTCTAGTTTTCTTTAGGCTTTTTTTTTTGGGGGGGGGGGGGGGGGGGGGGGGGGGGGGTTGGTTTAGTTTTTCGTGTTTCTACTGGAGAACCGTTATGTAGGTTGAACCGCAGACAATTCCAAAATCACAATGCATTAATCCACATATTTTTCTGACATAAATAATTTAAACAATTGAAGGGAATAGTGCTGAAGTTTTAGCAAGCTGAGTGTTCATTGAAACTTGAAAGACAAATAACTCAGAAATTAGAACATAGCACTCGGTAAAATTTTATGAAATTTCTAAATTAGTGAACGTACACTGCAATTAATGCTTTTACTTGTGGGAATACTAATTCTAATGTGTAAATAATTATTCAGTTTTGTAATGCAGACGACTGTTAATTTTTTAAGAAGTTTAAAACTTGCAGCCTTTTGAGCAGATTCATGAATTGTCCTTTTCAGATTGCTATTCTTTTCGATTTTCATATAATTTTTTTGCTTCTTTAGTGTGTATTTTAATATATTTAACGCATGCTTCCCTTTTTTTTTTTTTTGCGGTGAGTGTATTAATTTATGTATTTTTGCTAGGTTTTTTTGCTTCAATGCCTTTTGCTAGATTTTTGGGATTTTTGTTGGGTTTTGTTGTGTGTAATAGAGTGATGCAATTCGGGTGTTCTTCCTCATTTTGCAGTCATCGATATTATATGGAGCTATTTGTATATCCTTATTACAGGTTCCAGCATGCCAAACACCGCATACGAAGCAGAAGAAAGGTGACATTTCAGGATTATCTGGGGATGTTCAGCATGTTGATTCAGTAGCAAGAAGCTCTTGTAATTTCCAGGCAGATGATGGTTTGCTTTCTGAATCTGTGAACAGAATGCCTGTTTTACCTACTACAGAGGATCCTACGACAACCAACACTTCTTTTGCTGATGATAGTAGAACCAATGGCTCTATGTATATAGATTCTCCTGATTCAGTTGGTGAGGCGAGGAATGGGGGGAGTGCATCAAGTAGTGAATCGCCATGGTTTCAGTTGCGAAAAGATGCTACATCATTTGTTTCACAAACCTTACAGAGAGGCCGCAAGAATCTTTGGCAACTTTTAACAAGCCGAATGTCAGTATTGCTTTCTTCTGCTGCTGTTTGTTCAAGCAGCATGCATCAATTTTTGAGAAATTATGAAGATCTGAATATCTTTATCTTGGCTGGGGAAACTTTTTGTGGAGTTCAAGCAGTTGAGTTCAGGCAAAAAGTGAAGGCCGTTTGTGAAAATTATTTTTTTGCTTTTCATCGGCAAAATATATATGTAAGTTGACTTGATGGCTCTTTTGTAAATAAATGACCAGATGTCTCCACATCATTCTTATTTGTTATTGGTTTGAATTATTTAATTAATAATCTTCTGTTTTTCAGGCACACATTTCTGTTTCTTGTTCTTTATTTTAAGTGCCATTTCGCATATTTCTAATCTTTTGCTCCTTTCATAATTTATTGATTTTATTTATAGTATTATAGAAAACTACATGCACATGCGCATATATATATATATATATATATATATATATATTCCAATAATTTGTGCATTGCCACTCATTTCCCTTTATGTTCCAAGAACTTTATGTTGTGCTGTTAGTTGAAGGCATTGTCTATCTAATATTTCACTTTTAGTTCTTGTAGAGGGTATTCGACACACAAATAACATCATTACGCGTGTGTCATAACACTATCATATTATTTCCCTTCTTCAAAAACATTATTTTTATCTTGTGTTGTCCATGTTTTTGTTAGTTGCATTCTGCAAAAATCTCCAGATTAATATATGGACAAATAAATCGTAGGATTTTGAAAAGTTTCAATATAATAAAATTTCCTTCTTCAAACATTATCGAAACCTACCATCTTTTGAACATAGAGCTTGTATAATCTTTTTGCCTTTAGAGTTCTATCAATTAGAACACCACCACCATATACATACATGCTGCTGCTTGTGTTTTGGAAGTAGAACAGTGGTGAAGATTATGGCGATTTCTGGATTTTATGGACCATTTTTATGGATGTTTCTCACTTGCTAGTTGCTGAATGATTTGGTGTCTCCATTTGCTTTGAGTTGACTGAGACTACCAACAAAAATTGAAAATGATATTTACGGAATGGAATGTACAGCCTGGATATACAATTAACTGTATGGCTCATTATCTGTGTGTATGTACATATATGTGCACCTATTTTTATATGTGGTTTAAAGTCTCGCTTTCAGATACTTTATTGTGTAGTTTATTCAGTTGGTTTCAATTTGGGAATATAGGTGGTGTATAAAATATGCTCATGAAATCACTTTGTCTTACCAAATACAGTTTCGCTTTTGGTGAGTTCTAGCATACTTGGATGAGTATTGTTATGTAATTGTTATATGACTACGTGACTCTGCAGAAGGACTATCACCCTCGCAGAATAAACTTGATGCACTTTCATCATGTATTTATTCCTTCCAATATCAAATTATTGTTATCAGATGATAGTTGAAAACCATGTTAATCTGTAGTATGTATTTATACGTATGTATGTATATATATATATTATGCATATTTACAGATATCAACACATTTTCATCAAGTGTACTGCTATAGGTTATAAATTTTGGACAGCTATAGCAGATGAACTGGCTCTAAGAATCCAGAAAGTCAAATGTTAATGGCTTAATTAGGAGCCTCTTTTGAGAAGCCATACTATCCGATTGTAGTATAATACATGTATAGTATGGCGTCATAAAAAGTATTTGTTCTTTTCCTTGTACTTTAAAAGAAAAGGCTCCATTTGTGATTTTTATTTAATATAGCTTACACACGCATAAAAGATATGTAATGTACATGCACTAACCAACTATGCTCTTTAACAGTTTGTTTGTGAGAGAGGGAGGGAGTGCCTGGCACCTGGTTGCCATCCGTACATAGTTGATTGCTTGTTGATTTTGATCATTCAAATGATTGCTCAAGTAATCTTGACCCTTTTGATAATTGGTGGGGTTTGAGGTTTGAATTAAGTGGTTCCACTTTACTTTCTTTATTTTTTTCTTTGGGGGGTGTGTGCGTGTTGGGGGAGGGGGGCAGGCTTTGGTATCTGTTTATAAGTTACTGTTACAGTGAATCAATATTCTTGGCGCTTAAGTTTAACAGTCCGATTTTCAGTCTATGACTCATGCCATGAATTGTTCTTGCACTGTTTGGGCCATATTTGCAGATCATTTTGTGTCATATCACTATCTGAATGCATTTATAAGATGACCAATATCATCTTTTATTTTTCAGGCACTGAAAATGGTCATGGAAAAGGAGAATTGGCTGAAACTGCCGCCAGACACAATACAAGTGGTAAGTTTTGCTGGCCTTGTTGGTGATGGAGCGGCCCTTATTGTCCCATCTGATCGCATCTCATCTAATGCTGGAGTGCTGCACTCCAGTAAATCAGCAGACTCAATTGAAACTGGCTCTAAGAAAAGTGGATTTTCCCATTGGCTTAGTAATGGAAACCCATTTTCGCAGAGACTAAGCTGTGCTTCCAAAGAATATCATGATTCATTTTTACAAAATGGGTCAGCAACCTCAGGAGAAGCTGATGTTAAAACTGATGATTCTCACAAAGATAAGCTATCTCCGAGGAATAGTGTTGAAAATAATGTGAATGGCAATAATTCTGTTTCAGAAGATGAAAATGAAGATCTTCATGCAGACTTCATTGATGAAGATAGCCAACTCCCGAGTCGGATTTCGAGACCTAATCATTTAAAAAATTACTCTTCACATTGTAATGATGAAGAAACGATAGCACAAACAGGGTCGTCGCTTTGTCTTCTAAGGTGAATTACTCTTTGTTCAGACACTAGGATACTAAATATGTTCGTAGATGCCCTGAGCTGAATTTAGTTTTACGCAATAGGTTGATGGATAAATATGCAAGGCTAATGCAGAAGCTAGAGATAGTTAATGTTGAGTTCTTTAAGGTATGTCCATATCTGATAATTTTCCTCTTATTCATTATTTCTATCTGTTTAGTTTACAATCTTATTGTATCAGTGTTTGTGCCTTTTTCCTGATTTGTCATTTCTTACAGGGAATTTGCCAATTGTTTGAGATTTTTTTCCATTTTGTGTTCGAAGCATTTGGTCAGCAGAACACTTTTCCTAGTGGAAAAGGCTTGAATGACTCTCTCACTTGTAAGATTCACTAGTCCTTGTTCCTCTCTCTCTCTCTCTTTCTCCCTTATAAAAAAGAATACCTTATATATTGATTCTTTTTCTTTGTTTCTTTGTATTGTGATTTTTCATCATATTTCTTGTTCGATCCTTTTCTTAAAGCTAATTATATCTGGTCTGAGATACTTGTTATTTTGAGGGGATCTCTTCATTATAAATTACTTCTTTCTTGTGGTCCTCAGATCGGCTGAAGACAGCCTTATCCAGAATAACACAAGATTGTGATCAGTGGATAAAATTCCAATCTGCATCATTTTCTTCCTCTACATCCACATCTTTGAATGATGTGACACCTACTAGTCCACCCAGTCACTTGCCCAGCACATATTTCGGCCTGAAGGTACTTATTTCCAATTTTCAGGTCACTGGCTTCTTTCTTGCTTGCAGAAATTTTTGTTTCTTGTTGTAATTAAGCAAGTTACTTGGATTCAAGTAGCTTTCCTGAATTTTTGTTTCAAACTACGACTACATAAGATTTGGTGTCTGTTAATATCATGAGCAAAAAAATATTTATGTGTCTTCTAGTTCATTGTTGACTTCTAATTTCGTGTGTGATTTATCAATCTCGGTTCAATTTCTGATAGGTATCAAGACAAACAAAGAGCAAACCGTGTCCTTGTTTTTTACAGTTGTGCCTTATGTTGTTACTTACTCTCTTGGCCTTGTCTGTTAGATAAAGTTTGCATTCATGTTTTATATTCTTATTTTCATTTAATTTTTCTTGGAAACAACATAATTCATTATGAAAATATATTAGAGAAGTCCTATCTGATGGCTGATGCTCTCCTCATTTATTCTTTTTCCTTCTTTCTTACAAACCTGAAGGTCTCAAACACCATTAACAACTTCGTATAAGAGCACCTACCAAAAAATGTTATCTGAACATATCAACATCAAATGGACCTGGAGATTATTTATTTATTTATTTTTGATAAGTAAATTTGACCTGGAGATTATTGGTGCAAAGAACTATCCATGTGGATGACCGGCTCTCTTGTGGACCATATAATTAGGGATCTGAACAATATATGTAGTCTTTATTTACTCAGATTTGAAATACACCAGCTTAGTTGACATGGCGGTATCTGATTAGTCTCTTAACCTAATATGTTAGCTGTTCAATTCCACTTGTTGCCTATAGAAAATGTTTAAAAGAAACAGAACCTTAGGTTGGAATTTCTCCTCTTTTATGGCTTCACATCCCTTATATCTCCTAAGGTATTTAATTGCTTGTGTTATCTCTTTATACGCTGCTTTGGTTATAGTCTATGAAGCATGGAGACGGACAGGGGTACGAATTGACACGGTTAGGGCGATATGACAAATTTCAAAAAAATAGGACACTGACACGACAGTGATATGACAATAAAATAATAAAACAATTTTTTATTATATATAAAAATTTAATTTTTTGCTCAATTTCTAATCTATATTTACAAATATAACCCATTTAACTGACTTTGAAAAACATAAAAGGTTCACATGCCCAAATTCCCTCTCTCTCATCTCCTTGATCTCTTCATCTCACTCTCTTCCTCTCTTTGTTTCATTCACAGCTCCCAGTCTCTGTATTCCAGTGGTTTGTCTCTCATCCCCTCCATATCTTCACATAGTTAGATCCTTATCTCTTATTTTATACATATCTCTTTGAATGAATGCACACACACATATATTTATACAGCATCTTCATCCTGACATAAAAAAAAAAAAAACCTCCGCACAGACATATCCCTGCATTTCTGACAGCATGTCCGATCTTAAAAAAAAATGACACTTCTGCAGAGTGTTGGACGCGTGTCTGACACGGATATAGAACCCCTCCTTGGCATGCCAGTGTTTTAGAGGTTATAGTGAACAGGGTCCTAGGTACTAAAAAAAGGGCTTTAAGTGTGTTTTTTTTTTCCTTTCAACTAGAATTATTCATTTCTGTAGCTAAACCAAAGGATTGTCTGCACAAAAATATCTCATTACGATAAGAAAATAAAAGAATTATTTATCTCTATGGACTTGCTAGCTTTCATTAATATATTTTCTTTTCTTTTTACATATTTTAAATTATCCAATAAGGGGACGAGTACTGGCGAAGAGGAATCTTCTGTTTTCTAGCACCTAAATTTTTGTTATCCTTTTGGTGCTTAACTTTGCTGCATTCTTCCAACCCTATTTTTGCTTGCTCTACTCAGTTGTGATCATTGAAGAAACTATCAAATGCTCTTCATAAATTCGTGTCCTTCTATGCGATACCCTGTAAAAATATCTGATGTCGTGAACTTCCTTTTTTATCTTTTATCCTCAGTGTCTAACGTTTCTTTGCCTCTAGGTATTGTAGAAGCACTCTATCAACATTGGAAGGGCAAGATGTGTGAGAAAGTGGAAGTTTAGGTCGAATTGGGACTAAAAGCTGAAGTAGAAAAATACTAGAGGGATAAAATGGGTATTCACCACGCACTGAAAGTTTGATGGTTTTGTTGTGGGATATGTATTAAGATTGTTGGCCAAGGGCTTTAATCTAATTAGGAAAAAAAAAAAAGTCATGTAAAGTTTGACCGTCTATTTTAGCTGCTTCTGTGGTTGGATATGGATAATGCTCTCCAACATGTATTGTTGGTGGAAGAAGTTTGCATAGCAGATACAAATCAGTCAACAAATCACTCAAACATTCTGAAACAATAGGGTAAGTAAATCGTAAGTCATGTAATTGATGATATCTCTTTGACTTAAATTGTTCCAGTGAAGAAGTTAAAATTTGGATAAATATGTGCAAGGAATTTGAGATTACAGTGGGCCAATTAAGGCACTTAATTGGCATTGAGGTTGTTAGGTCAAAGAAGGTAATTGTTGTCCCACAAAAACCTGATTCCTTAACATCCAAAGTGTGGTCTATTTTCATTTAAAATGCAGCTGTTGAAGAAATAAATCGAGTGGATTTAATGTCAAGTAGGTGACCATGACTAGTTTCTTGACTGAATGGATCTCAAGAATTCTCCGAAGATGATAAAAAACCACTGCTACATTACTCCACTTCCTCTTAAATGCAAGGCATTTTATATTGAAGTTTTGGTTATCTAAAGTGGCAGTCTTTATTGATGCATACCGAACATGACTACTTTGTGATTCACATCTAGTTGTTGCACTTTTCTTGTGGAAAATATGATAATTGGGTAAAAACATAATAAACGGACACTTAAATGATCATTTGGTAAAGTATTGAACAGAAATTTGGGCTATACATGGGGAGTGTGTGAATTTGATTGGGTGAAAACTTGGGTACACAAAAACATATAGAATGATATTCTGACAATAAGGGGACTTAAGTCCATTATAGTTATTTATGTGAAAAAAATAAAATCTGTTTGACTACCAGATTATCCGTGCAAACTCTTAGGCCATGTTTGTTGTGGTTGAATGGAATCAAATCTGAGGGAATGGAATGCTTTTCTTTCCATTCTTGTGTTTGGTGTGGTCTATTAAAGGTGGAATCATCATTCTCCACCATTCTTGGAGAATGGTCATTCCACCAGAATCATTCCTTCTCTTTACCAATGGAATGGGCATTCCATTCCCACATGGAATACGATTAAAAAAATTATTACAAAAAAACCTATTCATCATCCCTTTTCTAAACCAAACCCATCTCTGTTCTCTTCCAACCCATCGACATCTTCCAACCTATTCGTCGTCTCCCTTCGCTGTCTTCCTCCGCCGCCGGAGACAGATTCGTCTTCCTCCATCTTCCTCTCTCACTACCCCTTATCTCACCACCGTTGCCGGAGACCACAACACAACACAACCCAACCCAGCCGTCGGAGACAGATTCTTCTTCAGCAAAGAACACCATCAATTCAGCAACCCCAAATCCAACAGAGAGTTTCTGAGCTTCTTTCTCTATCTAGAAAGCAAAGAATCGAAAAACTTGAACTACCCAATTCGTGAAGTGAGGGGAGAGAGAGTCAGAGAGGGGGAAAAATTGAAGAGAAGAATGACGGAGGAGGAGAGAAGAAAGCATTTCTTTCAACTGGGTCCCACTGTCTTCTTACTGATTATAGATGCATATACAGAGATGGAAGCCTGCGTGTGTCACCAAAGCAATTCAAAATTGTATTATTTAACTGGGTTATATGTCTTAGGACGAAAAATCTAGAAATTTTCAGATTTAAATTTCAATGGAGGTGCATGTATTTGTATACGCTAGCCCTTATTTCAGATTCGTCTTCCTCTCTCACTACTACTTATCTCACCACCGCCGCCGGAGACACCTCCTTGCCCTAATCTTCAATGCCTTGCTTGCCCCAAATTTATTTCTGATGTTAATTTTTTTGTTAAATTTATTTATTTATTTAATTTTTAAGTTAAATTTCTTTATTCATGATAAAGTGTAATTTGGAGATATCAATGTAAATTAATTCCATTCCAGCTTTTCAATAGGTTCAACCAAACACACGAATGAGAATTATCATTCCATATTTACAGCATTCCATGTTTGTAACCAAACACTAGAATGGAATGGGCATTCCCATTCCATTCTCAGCTTCATTCCATTCCCACTCTATTTCATTCCTGCACACCAAACTAGCCCTTAGACTATACGAATTTGTACTCCCTCTGTAAAGATAGGAGACATGCAAACTTTACTTTGAGGTGTCTTCTTCTCTTTTGCCTCTGATTTTCAGTCTTAAGTAGAAACTTTAAGGTTTTAAAAAATCCATTAGATCTTGTCCTAGGAGGCTAGGACAAAGGAACTGCCTTGTACAATTTCAAACTATAGAATCTAATGGTACAAAGAACCATGAACAGGTTCTGATCTTTAGTCTCTGTTAAGACATGCTTATTACTTCATTAAATTGTCAAATGTCATTAATCTTTTACATGGAACTACTTATTGCTTTATGTAAATTAAGTTTTTTATGAGATAAAACAGTGCCATGTCTGTGATGTTATATGTTTATTAATATCAACATTATGCTGCAGGAAAGATGTGCTGGTGCTGACACTATTTCTCTTGTTGCTCGATTATTGCATAGATCTAAAGCTCATCTTCAGTCGATGCTTCTGCAAAATAATGCAACTATAGTTGAAGATTTCTATGTGCATTTGGTATGTCTTTGACTGCATTTAAAGAAAACATTAGTCATGGTAGCTTGGGATATTGCTAAATGATATGGACGAAGTTAAAATTTTGCTTGTGATAATAACAATAATGATGATGATCTAAAAAATTGGTTGGTGTTTGGTCAAGTAAAACTTCAATGGCAAATTCAATCTTGTAATTTTATTTTAAATAAGTACCATAATCTGCTATGTTTGTAAGATATTATTCTGAATATAAAAATTTGCATTTGTTGTCTCATAAATTGTCATATTGTACTGATACTGCTTAACAGACTATCACATATTTAACATTGGATAGTCCTTGCCAAAATGCACACAAAGTGCATGCATGTGTTTATGCACAGTGGGGGTGTACGCATGCCTGTGTTTTATCCGCTTTACATATGGATTATTTTAGTTCAGCATATTGGAATTTCACCTCTTAGTATGGATAATCAATAAACGATGCTGGCAGACGCTGTTCGTGGACCAATGTTACCTACGTTATTTATATATTTGTAGATTTACAAGATTAACGCAAGTCAAATTAGGTTCAGAAATGATGCCTAAAGAAAGAGGGAGAGCGGATATTAAAGAACTTGGCTTTGTCATGCTATATGTTCCCTATTTAAACAATTTGATTTTAGTTAAAAATGATAGTGTATCTTTTAATAAACCATGGAATTTTTTCATTTTCTTTTACAAAAAGCATGTACTTTTATTCTTATCAGGGAAGTTACCAAATTACCAAGTATGGATCAACTTTGTCCTTGATAGGATTGGACAGTGACATTAATCTCAGCAAGTGTTCCAACTGAAAGATGTGTTTTTTTTTTTTTTTTACTACATAGTAATTATCGTTACAGAAATTCTAGATTTGAATGAACTTGATGGAAGGAAATTTTTTTTTTTTGGCTTGTCAGGTCGATTCTGTACCAGATCTTACAGAGCATATTCATAGAACGACTGCAAGATTACTTCTCCATATTGATGGGTAAGTCATAAGAGCATAGCTCAGCTGGTTTATATGTTCCAAATAAATGTTCTACCTTTTGAATAAAATGAATAGTATTTTACACTTGTAGACTGGTTGAATAATGTGAGTCAATTTGATGAAAGCCTGAGGTTAACATGTGTAATCGTGTGTTGAATTTTAATTTTATTCCATGTATTAGTATTTTTGTATTGGTATCTGTGACTTTGTTACAGGAATGCTAACATGTTAACCTTTGTGTTATTATAACTAGTTACATATATAGAACTAAATGCAACATGATAAAGGAACTATAAACTTATAAGCCAAACAGTTTGAATCAATTGACTAATTTTAACAGTCACAAGGTCAAGTCAGAAGAAGTGTGGACCAATACCAACAATGATGCAAGATATTCCACATAGTAATATATCTCAAACTTTAGAGCTATAGGACTGAAGTTGAGCCCACTGTGGGGTGTATTTGGAATTTTATATCATAATAGGTTTAGGCTTTAGTACAGTTCTATGGGTTCTTTCCTTAGTAATGGTTTCTGTGGGACCTTTTCTTTGTAAATGGGATAAGATGTGTCTATTACCCTGCATATGTGGCTTTAGTAGTTTTAGGTCTAGTTTGAGCAGTTAGTGTTTTTAATTTTGGAGTCATAATCTAGTTATGGCTATAACACAACTTTTAGTCTACAAGTCAATGTACTTCAGTGGAGAACAATGCAACATCGAGTTTTCCTGTAATTTCAAGGCTTTTAAAGCAATATATGTTGCCATTTAGATTTTTGGTTGGAACTGTGATTCCCTTATATATTCTTCTCATTCTTCAACTTTCCCCTAAAATTTATAATGAGAAATTCTGGCATCTTGTTTATTAAAATTCTAGGGACTTGTTTATTAGAAGTTCACTCACAACTGTAATAAAGACTAAATTTTGGTTCAGTCTCCCTCGGAGCCTAGATTTTAAATGGAAATCAAGGGTAATTAGTAGTTGATTATAAAAGAAGCGGCCCATTTATCAACTACTAATTACCCTTGATTTTCTCTAGAACGACATTTAAAATTCGCATACCACATTAATAACAGTTTTACTACTTCCATAAGTTATCACTTAACAATTCAAAACCTTAGGTAATAATAATCTTAATGCATGGACAAATCTGCTCTGATTCCTTTTTTATATACTAATTTATCAAATTGAATGGATGGCATCCTTAATTTATTTGTGGAGCATTCTTTTTAGATTTGACTGGCAAGCATTTCTGGCAGGTATGTTGATCGAATATCAAATGCTAAATGGGAGGTTAAAGAACTTGGATTAGAGCATAATGGGTATGTTTTCCTGGAATCTTGCTTTTATCTTGAACTTACTTTTTTCTACTAGGGGTTTGTCATCTAATTGTGACAGTAAATTTGGTTATGAATGTTTAATGTTGTGCAAAAATTGTCTTCTATGGTCATGCGAACACTTCAATTAGAATATCAAGAATCTGTTACAAGCTCTTTTAGCATTAATATTAGGAGATCATGGTAACCGCATGTATGTTATGTCCTGGGTGCTTTGTAGTTTTAAAGAGCTTCTGGGCATTTATGGACCTCCATGTTGAATTCGTTTGTGATTTAACTCCCCAAAATTCCTTTGTCAATAGACTCTTTTCTGCATTAGGATATCAAACGTGCGAAAATCCTTATAATGTTTTGCATTTTGAAAATGTTATGATAATCTAGAAGCTGAAAAATGAAGATAGAAAATACTACACGAAAGTTCCTATGAATACGCACGTGTGTGTGTGTTTGTATATAAATGCATATGTTAGACATTTTAAGATCACACCTGCATAATTAAATAAAGAAGCTTGGTTAACAGTCTGTCATTAACCAAATTTTATATGAAGATGAAACTGAAATTAATAGAGACACCAAATGGACAGAAGCTTTTTTAATGAAGAAATACAGTTAGGTTTGGAAATAAAAGGAGACATGAGAGTAGAAAAAGTGTCTTAAATTTGACCAAATAATAATATTTATTTTTTGTTATTTATGATTAAATAATAATTAAAAAAAAAAACACTAAATGAACCACGTAATGAGTCGTATTGGTGAAAAATGCACCATTGTATGGGCCTTGGCTTTTCGGGAGTCTGCTAACAAGATTACCGTGTAATATACCTGGCAAAGAAAAGACTACTACATAATTTATAAAGCATCAAAATGCTTGTACCTGCCCTGACAAATGGCTTCCAAAAATCAGAACAGGATCTCACCTTCTGCCATTTTCTAATAGATTAGAACAAGATCTCACCTTGTGCTGCTCTAGGGTCTGATTAAAGTCCCATTAGGCCTCTAGTTTCCACAAGGGGTTGAGATTATAGAAGTTATATAACCCAATTGGAGTAAGAAATGGAACGTGAAAGGTGTTAGCATCGACCGTGAATAGTGCCGCATTCTGAAAATTCAGGTGAAGTGTTTGACCTACAACATGTAGTAGTATCTCCTCCATGGCACACCATTAGCTTTGACCGCTCGGCTCAATGCCTTCGGGGTTTAGAGGTGCTTCTTTGCTTCGCCTACTGCAACTGCCACTTGTCTGTTGGCCCACCTAACAGAGTCTGGTGCTCTCATGATTAAATGCAGCAAACCAAACAATGTTTTCATTAATAATGTGGTAAACCAGTCAATCTTTTGGTTGCATAAGGAGGACAACGCATTATCATCAATCTTTTGGTGTCATTTTTTAAAGTATTATTTAAGGGATTGTTTTCTTTCGCCCAGACTCATTTATCATTTCTTGACTTCATTTTTCTCTTTTTCTAATTCTCTTTTACAATTTCTTCTCATTTGAATCTTATTTTGCCTCCAGAGCTTACATGGTGCCTTTCGCTTTCACTGTTCTGTTTCTGTTCTTTGACAGTGTTGAAAATTTAAAGTCAAATGGGTTGCATTTATCTCCATATAATTTACCAAAGGGTTCAAGAGTTGTGTGTGAAAATGGATTGGGGGATATAGCATGTGGATTAAATGAGGAAGACGAGAAAATTCAACAAAGAGGAGAAGTGGAGAATTTAACTATCTTTTTGAATTATTAAGATTTTGATCAATCATAATAGTATTTAGTACCTAACTGGCATTTTGCATATATGTCTGATATTCTGGCATCTTGAGAGAAATGATGAAACTATCTAGGGTAACAATCTTTTAGAGGACCATTACCCGTCACAAGCCAAAGCAAATAAGCAATATAAGAATTCTTGCCAAGAACTATGATCAAATTTCACGAAAGGAATAAATAACAAACCTGGGTGATAAATTCTCATTGGGAAAATTGTGTATACATTGCATGTCCATCTTTATTAATAATCAGAACATGCTTTTGGTTATCAGATCCCCTCAGGAATCTCCAAAGCCATCTACCAAAACCATGTTGTTCAGCCCTGCAACTACTTCTCTTGATATGGGTTCTTGGAGAGGCATGCAAATCATCCCTCACTTTGTCTCGTGTTTGAATAAGCAAAGCTTCAACTTATGCTTGATCACAAGCCACTAGGAACAGCAAGTCAATAGCTTTATGGTTTTTTTTACCCCATAGTCCACCACCAGGCACATGGGCACCAGACAATTACTGGAAAATTTCTGGGGTAGCACTAGGGGATTTGAACTTCCAACTTCCAATATTTTAGGTAAGAGGCTTGTCGTTAGGTTATCACCTTGGGGTAATATCTTTATGGAATTTCTGTCTATGACATAAGTGTGGATGTACCAATTCTCAAACTTTTTTCTTAGGGTTAAATTTTATTTACTTATGATATCGAGTAATTTTATGCTACTTGGTTGTTTAAAATATTTCTGAGATTCTGGGAAGGTGGAATTTGAACTACACTTTTGGTTTTCATTCCTAATGAAGCAGCATAAATTTGGTAGTTTGTCAGTTTGGTTGAGACCTTATGAATGATGCTTCCACACCCCCTCCCCACCTTCTCTCCCTTCCTCTGCTCAATTCATTCCATGTTGCGAGTCTTCTTGTATTTGGCAATTGGTTCACAATTGAAAACTTCTATGGGTTTTACTAGTTTCAGAGATATATATATATTTTTTTCAATAGAAAATAAAATATGTTGAAGTTAAGGGTTTAGTCAGAAGGGAAGAGGAATTAGATTGTGGCAATTAAAGTTCATTACAATATTATCTATTTAGTTGGGCTTCGACCATAGAGAAGACGTGGGTTGAATAATTTTAGGCAAACGGATTTTTTTTTTTTTTTTTTCAGAATTGTGATAAAAAAAGATGCAGCAATGCCATTGTTGAAATTAATTTTCTCATTGATGGTCTTTTTATTTTTGAATTAATCATAAATAAATGAGCCATGCCATTCTCTAAATGATTCATGTTTGTATGGCATTACTCTTGTGGTTTTTGACCTATAGACAATCACGTAGTAGTACCAGCTTTTTTGTGGGTTTTATCTCTCTGTGGTTCACAAATGTTTTCAAATCTTTCGAAACGAAAGAATATCAGGGAAAGACACATTTGCTTTTCAATTTTGTAATTCTATCTGTTTTTCTGTTGGAACTGAGGTCATATGTTTCAGCATTTCTACAATCTTGTGACAAGTGTTCATATTTTAGATGAGATCTCTTCAAAATTCCTTCTGTTTCTATCCTTGTTAACGAGATCACAACCAATAATTGACTTGTGTGCTGACTACTTATTAATAGGTATGTTGATTTGTTGTTGGGAGAATTTAAGCATTACAAGACGAGACTTGTTCATGGAGGAATTCAGAAGGAGGTAAGGACTGGCGTTAATAATATCAGACAGCATCCTAAATTAATAATGTCTCCTCTTTCTCCCCTCTTCAATTCCCAGCAAACAGCATTATCTAAATTTGAGATTGTTAACTTCTCATATTTCACTTATATGTAGCATCTCTGTTGTATCAAAAATTTCAAAATCTTTTCCATATATATTTAGGATTTACTCATAAAGGTCATCATTTGCGTACAATGTCTAATTGATGTAGGACTTTAAGGTAGGCCTCAAATAGTTGAATGTTGAAAGATTTAGTGGATGAAATATATGATAGTATAAGGCCTGAGTTTAGAATCTGATTGTAAGAGTGTAGGGTTTACAATTAAAGAGGAAGGATAAGGTACAAAAGAAGCCTACAGAAGGCACACTAATAGGAGCTAGGTATCACACCCTAGAGTTTGTGAATTACTCGCAAGAAAATTTGGTAAGGCCCACACACTCGTTCAACCATTCCTAAAAACACAATATTACACTCCTTTTTGTCAAAGTTCCCACTCATAATCATGTAACTCTTAGATTTACATCATAATGGGCTAATAGTTCCTACTCATTCTCATATGACTCTTACCTACATCATAACGGAGGTAACCCATATGATTTATGTGCTCATCAACCATCAGTCTAGCCCTCTTACATCTTACATTGGATCCTTTGTGTGAGATTTCACTCTATTGCGTCACCCTCATGTCTGCATGGGAGAAGAAAGGCAAAAGATGTGATTTAAATCCTTTTTGAGTGTAATAACCAGATTTTGTTTCTCCTCCATCATTCTGCAATACTACTATGATAAAGGCTTGCTTTGAAATTTCACTAGTCCACAAGCCCAGATGTTGCATGTGTTGAGAGAAATATATTTCACCAATTTGTTCATTAAAACCATGATTTTAAATTTTTGCACCTTAAATTAGAACTGCGTTCCTATTGTACAACATTTCACTCTATTGAGGTCCGCATGTGTGAAACGGGTAAGAGATGAAAATGAAATTATCTTGGGTTCATGTGGTCATAAAATACGGCAGACCTGAAAAATAACAAAAAAATATGAATTTTCTAGTGTATGGGAAGAAAGATGGATTCTTTGGGGCCTTAGACCCCGGTTCCTCTATTGTTTAAGGGACACGTTCCCCTTTTGAACGCCTTTTTTATTTCATTATTACTTACCAAAAAAAAATGGGAAGAAAGATGGCGTCAGAGCACTTTTGGTCCCAGATCAGTTGGATGGTCTTAAGTTAAATTTATGGTCTGAAGATTATAGAAGAAAACATCAATTTAAAGCAGTCTATTAAGCTAAGCTTAAGAAGTTACACAAAAGCTACATTGAATTCTGTTAAATTGTAGTTTGTGTTAAAGTACTAGTTGTTTGCTAGGTGGAATGCTGGAACTTGTAAAAACATTAGCCTAAAGTTCCATTGAGTTGTAGGAAGTAGTGGGTTCTAGGGAAAAAAAAAAAACTCAATTCTTTCCTCTGCTATGAATTCAGGTTCAAGACCTCCTCTTGGAATGTGGAGTTGATAATGTTGCTGAAACTCTCATTGAAGGTTTATCACGAGTGAAGAGGTGTACAGATGAGGGACGGGCTCTCATGTCTTTAGATCTTCAGGTTTGGTTTGAACAAATAACAGATGCTACAATTTTGTTGTGTACTTGTTTTGTTTATTGTTTGGTGTGTTTTTAAGGTTGAGAGTGCTCTGTGTATCCTTTTAGGTTTTGATCAATGGCCTACAGCATTTTGTCTCCACAAATGTGAGACCAAAATTACAAATGGTTGAAACTTTCATCAAGGTGAGCATAAGATGCTTCTCAGTTTGTTTGGAACTAGAAGTTGTAGTGTGGAACAAGTCAGTTGCAGTCTGTCTTGTTTGTTTGTCTTAGATGCTTCTCAGCTGTCGGTGTTCGTGAAACGTAGTTCTGTATCATATGATTATTAACTGCCATACTGTCTCCACTCTCTAAACAGGCCTACTACCTTCCAGAAACTGAATACGTGCACTGGGCTCGTGCTCATCCGGTAAGAGAATTCCCCCATGAAGCTAGGTCACAAATTTTTACATATTTAAATTGCTTCGACTTTTTTCTCCCCTGGAAATGCTATGGTTACAATTAACACGTGCAAGTTCTTAATCGTCTCCAGGAATATAGTAAAAGTCAAATCATAGGGCTGGTGAACCTCGTTGCCACGATGAAAGGTTGGAAAAGAAAAACCAGGTTGGAAGTATTAGAAAAGATAGAATCAGGAATGTAGCTTCCTGCAATGATACATAAGATCTCAAGCATATAAAGTTTTTTATTTTCCTTATTTTTTTCCCTTTTATGATTGATGTAAATTGGATAGTTTCTTGGTCTCGCCAATTTATAGAGTGAACATCTCAAGGTTGTATATCTCCTTCCTGAGTTTGTATTATAAAACCTTCCCTTCAAAGAAACATCAAATGTAATTTTTAGTCATATCATACGGCAAATAATGAGTTCAATTCAGCATGGTATTGTGTAGCTTCCAATTTCTCCTCCCTCGTGACCATAAGCGAACTCTAGCTCATAATTATAATTTGTACACATGGAAAGAAAACTGTACGGCATCGTGTGATAGTTTTTTCAAAACCTAGTTCCCATTTTATTAAGTCAAAAATATGAATAAGAGCAATTGTTTTATACTTGTTGATTTGTATGATTTTTGCGTAGTTCATAAAAAAGTTGGGTGGTGTGTTAAAAATTCACCTTTGGTTAATGGCCATATGATCGGTTATATTTAGAAATGCCAAACAATGGTTTGCAATTTCATTTACTATGCGTTTGTACAACTAGGAGGGAAAATAAATGATCATGTGGCTATAATGAAACAGTGGTGGGAAGAACTTTTTTTTAAATATATATATATATATATATATTTTATTGCACTATACAAATCAAGAATTCATGATTTATTTTCAATGAAAAGGGACAAAATGGATAATTAAAGAAGACCTCCTTGCTTCACTTTTCTGAGTTCATTTTTATTTTTTAGATCTCTTTTTTTGATGGTAATTGGGTTGAAAGGCAACTAATTTAATAGAATAGTTTAACCAAATAGATTCCAACTCACTTCTCCTTTCCTTTCACTTGGGGGATAACCAAAATGCTATTAAAAATATTAGGCTTATCAAGCGTAGATTTTTTCTATTATGACCTCTCTAATTTCAAGGTTAGGTAACATAAATTTTGCAAAAAAAAAAAAATGATTCTTGCAACAAATAGTTGCAGTAAATTGCTAAACTTACTATTTTAATTTGTTAATTATGTAACAAATAAGACATTGGACTTCTTCACTTAGTTGTATTTGGTATCACTAGTTAATTAAAAATTATTCGGTTAGGCAATTTACTGCAAATGTTAGGTGTGAGTATCACTAATCATTTTGAAAAGATCAAAAAATTGTTTTGTTTTTTTTTTTTTTTTAACGATAATTGGGTTGAAAGACAACTAATTTAATAGACTAGTTTAACCAAATAAATTCCAACTCTCTTCTCCTTTCCTTTCACTTGGGGGATAACCAAAATGCTATTAAAAATATTAGGCTTATAGATTTTTTCTATTATTACCTCTCTAATTTCAAGGCTAGGTAACATAGATTCTGAAATGAAAATGATTCTTGTAACAAATAGTTACAATAAATGGTTAGACCTACTATTTTAATTGGTCAATTATGCAATAAATAAGAAAGTGGAGCCCATCACTTAGTTGTATTTGATATAAATAGTTAATTAAAAATTATTGGGTTAGACAATTCACTGCAAGTGTCAAGTGTGAGTGTTATAAACAGGTCAAGACTAAGTGCCAAGTAGGATCCGGAGAGGGATCCAATATTGCGCGCATATATAAGGTAGGCTGTGGGACATTCTTGAAAGGTTCAGAGGGGGTGGAGGAACCTTTGCCGGTGAAGTTGCCCAATACAGTAAGAACAATGGGTTGTAGCCTTTCCTATTTCTTTGTCCAGGGGATCTAAAAGCTCTACTCATTTTGAAAAGATCAAAAAATAGTTTATTTATTTATTGAAATTGGACATCTTTTAATTATGTTTTTCAGATAATTTAGTTCTCAGAAAATAAATAAATAAAAGCTGTATTTTTTTTATTATTATTATTATTTTTTTTTAGGCAAGTCACACACAACAAAGCTCCAACCCTTTTCCTCTCACTTTTCCTCCTCTTTGAGAGGAGGGAGTTCAACTCATACCATTGAGCTAATAATGGTTTATTTATTGAAATTGGACATCTTTTAATTATGTTTTTCAGATAATTTAGTTCTCAGAAAATAAATAAATAAAAGCTGTATTTTTTTTATTATTATTATTATTTTTTTTTAGGCAAGTCACACACAACAAAGCTCCAACCCTTTTCCTCTCACTTTTCCTCCTCTTTGAGAGGAGGGAGTTCAACTCATACCATTGAGCTAATAATGGTTTATTTGTTAAAATGTTTCGTTTTTGTTCTCTAGAAAACTGAAGCAAATAGATCATTGGGGAAAAGTGAGAAAAACACTGTTATTATTTTAAATTTTGGCAAATAACACCCCTAGCGGTTTTATTTTATTTTATATATATAAATCCGTTAAGTTTTATAAAAAATAATAAAGAAGGGCTTATGTAGTGTATATAATCCCCTTAAGTTTGAAAAATGAGCAAAAACAATGCTTGAAGTCACTGTTAAAATATAAAATTCCATAAACACCCTTTCATATTCCGATAATGCCCTTATATATATATATATATATATATATATTATATATATACACATTGCAGTTGTAAGCAATGACCACTCCGGCGATCTTGTCGGAATGTGAGGAAGTCGAGAACAACCTGGTTTGGTCGCTGCCAGCGATGATTGGCTTCATTGCCAGCACACCCTTTCATATTCTGATAATGCCCTTATATATATATATTATATATATATACACATTGCAGTTGTAAGCAATGACCACTCCGGCGACCTTGTCGGAATGTGAGGAAGCCGAGAGCAACCTGGTTTGGTCGTTGCCAGCGATGATTGGCTTCATTGCCAGCACACCATTTCATATTCTGATAATGCCCTTATATATATTATATATATATATATACACATTGCAGTTGTAAGCAATGACCACTCCGGCGACCTTGTCGGAATGTGAGGAAGCCGAGAGCAACCTGGTTTGGTCGCTGCTAGCGATGACGAGGAAGAAGAGACCCAAAAAAAAAAAAAAAAAAACCGAAAAAAAAAAGGGAGACTTTAGTCATTTCATATTTAATTAATTTTTTTACTTATTTTTTATTTAATTATAGAGGGATGCTTTAGTCTTTTCAATATTTAAGTCCTTATATGCTCCAAAATTAAATATTAATGATTTTTTACGAGTTATATGCTCTATATTCACGGCATAAGGTGTGTTATGCTCTCGACCCTACATCCTTTTATAATTTAAGGGTACATTGCTAACTTAAAAGATAACTAAAACAAAATCTGGAGTACAACGAAACAAAACATGAAAAATGCAACCTGTTTCTGAATTTCAGAATTTCTTCCTTCTTCGAGTAAAAAATAAATAACTAAAAATAGTGATAATGAGTAAAAATACATTAACATTCAACACGACTCAAAAAATAAAAGAAAAATAATACTCCGTGAGTAATTATTCCAGTGAAGCAAGTACATCATAAATAAATTGAAGCCTGTGCGGGTTTCTTTCACATCAATGTGTCTGTTAGAGTATTACTATATATAAATTTGGCTGTTGACTGTGCCACATCAATGGTGTACCATCTCTCTCTCACCAACCCCATCTTTGTGTATTCATATTGGGTTGCTGTGTAGTTGTTCACTGTGTTTTCTGTGTGTGTATCTTTTCACTCTACTTGGAAGCAATCGGAGACTGTGTCATGCTACTTATCATATTCAATGCAACACATGGCTGATCAACCGGTACCTGCAAATTTATCAATCACAAACAACTTTCTTAGAATTGTGAAGATCTCTCTGTCACCGTCAGATCTTTGCTTGCTGTTCTTTTGAGTACTTTCACAATTAATGTCTTTAGGGTTAGTTTCATATATTCATTTCTTGCCACTTTCACCTCTAAGTAATTGAGAATGCCAACTTGTGAGGCTTCCTAGTAAAAAGTAATATAATGTTATAATTTAAGCATGGTACTGGAGGATTCAAATCCTCTCCGGTAACGATTTTTTGTTATTTTTACTGTTGGTAAATTTTATCTATATACAGAGAACCATGACAAAAATACAAATAAATAGTTAAATTTTCATCAGTATAGCAAGTAAATGTGATTTGTGTTGATTTAGTAATTAAGTGGTATATTTTTTTCCCCTACATAAAAGGTTGAGGAAATGGATGTGCATGATTCACCTAAAAATGATAATGATGTATGTATATTTAAATTCATATACATATACAAATACAATATATATATATATATATATATATATATATATATATAATCACATTCTCATGGTACTCTTATAATTTCTTTTAAGGGTTTGTCTTTATCTTAGTGTTGTATCTCAGATTCTCATCCCATTCTTATCTCTATATATATGTTTTTCCAAAATGGGGTAGGGATATTTTCTCACATTCTTATCTCTATATATATGTCCATTTAGAGAACTTGACAAACTACATAAAAGGTTGAGTCTATCCATTGATGCAAACACATATTGTGAACCACCAATGTGACACTACATCATTGTGGAGGTCAAAAGCAATAAAAGGACAATGATGACATTTCAAGAATGGCAACCAGAACAAAGACAAACGTGGTTATGGTAATGGTGTCATGAGAATAATATGTGGGGTGGTGAGTAGGACATGACAGCCATAATAATATATATAAATAAAACTGGCAGACAAAATATAATAGAATGAGAGACAATGGTGGATTATGTTTATGATGGTGGATTATGTTTATGATGGTGGTTTGACTTACAAAGTGGCCAGCTTTGAGAATCCAATAGAAATGGAAGTTCTTATGAGACTTGGTGAATGCCTTTGTGAGTGTATCACCTCCACAGTATATAGGAGTTCTATCCATACTCAAGAAGGTTTTGAGTCCTTCCCACCTGAAAAAAATGGTTGCAATGGATGTGAGATTGAGATGAAATAATCCACAAGTATGTATAAGATCGTAACGTGCTCTAGTCTAGATGGTATAAGTTCTCCTCTCCTTTTGGAAAGATTGAATATTCGAGGAGTCCGTCGGTGGGGACAAATATATACTATGGAGAAAAGAGAGAGAGAGAGGCTCTTACTTAAGCTTCTCAACCCATGCTTCAGTCCCCTTGGTTGCACAGATGACATCAAGCTAAAATAACCAACCAAAATTATGTCACTAATAAAAGAAGAAACTTGGATTATCAATCATACCTCCACACAATCACACCATGATTAAAATTACAATAAGATGGATTAAAAATAGAGTCATGACACAGAATCTGACAGTCGAACAACTCTGACTGGTTTGATGTGAGTGGGTCAGAGGGCCAGACAACTCTGACCAATTTAACATGAGTAGGAGCTGACGTCGTAATGATGCTTTCCTTAAACTATTCAACAAGTGCAATCAATTTGTGTTTCAATATAGGGTCATTCCTCAAATGTAGTAGCAATTTATTTAGTCAAACATTAGAGTCTTGAATGGCAGTGCTGCATGATACAATTAAAGGTCCATCTTGTTGTTTTGCCAGTGATAAATTGTTGAATAAAAAGACTATGCATTTAGGAATCTTACTTGTCCATTGTATACAGTCACATTGACTCCTTTAGCTAAGAGCTCATCGACCTGTAAAAAAGTAATCATAATGAATGAATGAAGATAAACAATAATAATAGTAGTAACCATATTTCAACGGCTAATTTCAAAGAATGCAACTACCTTCAATGAATATAAAGTCCTCCTAGATGAACCTAATTGACAAATTGACAAGGACATGTTTGGCATCAATTTTTTTTTTTATAGTAAAGTTGGGTCCCTTCTGAAAAATGTTCAGTGTAAGATGCCAAATTTTTCTCCTCCTTTCATCTTGGCAATCATATAGCACCTTCTCATTATACTTTTCCACAAGGTTCTTGTTCTTATTCTTCCAATATAATAACATGCAATAAAGCATTGAATTTGAAGAAGAAAGATTATATAGATAGAAAATACTTGATTGAGATTCTATACTCTTACACATTGGTTTTATTTTACTTTTTATTTTTATTTTTTATGTAACCCTCAATTATGCATTTAGTTGAAGAAAAGAACAACATAAAAAAAAAGCCATATCTCCAAGACCCTAGGGAAAATAAATGGGACTTCAAAATTAACTCTAGTTTAGTTTAACCAACAGAGTATTGCTATAGTTGACGATGGGTTTTTTCAGTTATTCTAATCAACCAGTGTCCAACAAAGACTCTTAATTAGTGACGGATAAGGACATGTCTCTCCTTTTAAAGTGTTCAAATCAACAATAGACACATCAGTCAGTCAGTCATCAAACATATAAATAGGACTAGCACTTAGTAACACCTTTTTAATTGAATTTATTGAATCAAACCATTAGATCAAGCTATTAGACACTAAAACTAAACCATTCCAACTTCTACAATTGTATGATAACTTTGTTACCTCATTGATTCTTGGTCTCATAAAATCACCAGCAAGTGCTGTGAAAACAAGATCAGACTGTCCACCCCATCTGCAAACACAGAACATATCCTTTTGTTAGGGGATAAATCATACCTTCAACTGTAAATTCTTTTTCGAATCGAAAGCAAACTCACGTCACATTTTCAGGGATAATCTTTAGCTTCTTTCTAACAACACCATTCATAACGCTATCAATGTCACCAGCAGAACCACCTGGAGACCTTCTTAAGGAATCAAGATATCTCGAATATCGCTTCAATGCAATTCCATTTTTTAGCTTGGTAGCTGTCAAGGATACAGGGTCCATTCCCGAATCCAACAGAAAGTTATAGAAATCCTGCAAAATCAAAATCAACAAAAAATAATGCGGATCATAAGCAACCACAACCACAACCACACACAGAAAAATGTAGACAATTTAAGGTGAAACGAGCACGTACAACATTATTACTGCTGGAGCTGATAATGTCCTCAAGTTCACTCCATGAATTTGTCGCATCTTCAAGCTGATTATTGGCAATTTGCTGCTGAATTCTCTTAGCTACACTGTTTTCAGAAATGGGCTTGTTAGGAAACAGAAATCCTCCAACTCTATAATATTACACACACTGATTTTTTAGTTCAGCAAGTGAGAAATGTGGACCTGCTTGATTTTTGCACACCACTGTTGTCAAGCCTTGAGAGATCTTTGAGAAGAGGACCCCATGAGAACTGCAATTATTTATAGGAAAGTGTTCCATATAGAAAAATTAGTGCATCAGTGTATGAACAAATGATTAGTTGAACAGCCCAAATAATCTACACTAAAAAAGACTACTTACAGTAAAATCTTCTGGTGATATCCAACTATCTCCCAAAGCAACTCCTAAAATTGTAGCAACAATTCAAAATTACAAGTTAGTCACCTTAAAGTTGCAATTAGGACAAAAAATCGATCGTATCCTAACAAGAACAAAAAAAAAAAAACAAAATTATCCATAAAATTGGGATAATGATTTGGAGTTTGAAAGTCGGACAACGACTTATTTATGCGAGTGGGGGCTAAAGTTATCATGATGACTCCCTATCGGTACTCTAAAAATGATCATGGAAACAGAATTACCGCAAATTTATGATTACCCATCTCGGGTTTCTCCGAATAATTCATAATCTTTGATTACATAAGATTGTTTAAAAAAGTAAATACCTCCAAGTCTAAGCTTCAATTTTCCAGCTTCTATAGCTTTTAGAGCTGATAATCCAAGAGTCACTGCATATTTTCCTCCATAGGACTCTGCAACAATATACAGAGGACTCGTTTGGAGATTCTCTTTTTTATTGAAAATTTCTATCAACAATGTAGTCAAATCAGCAGCTGCTTCATTATCAGTTTTCACAAACAGCTTATTATCCTCCACAAAACTGAATCCAGTCCCAACTGGATTATCCTATATTACACAATAAATAAATAAACAAATAAATTTAAGAACAATAATAAAACAAGCAAAATTTACACATTTCAATTGTTATCACATTGAAATCCAATGAACATAACTTACAACAAACAAGAGATCTGCCTTTTGCAGCCAAGTCGAATTCCGAGGCTTCATTTCAGTGTCCAATGGCCCAACTTCTTCAAAATTTCCAATACCAACTCCTGAAGCACCCTATATGTATAAATAAAAAACACACGCACACACACAATTTCAAATTCATACATTGATGGTAATCTAGAAAGATGGAAAAAAAAAAAAAGTTGTCAATCCGAATTTCATAATCCAAACATGAAATAAGCATATGGGGTTGTCATAATTGTTACATAATTGAAAGTAGCAATACTTACAGGCCCACCTTGCAACCAGAGAATTATTGGGTATGGCTTGTTTGGATCTTGGATTCTAGAAGGACTTTTGTAGTACCACCAGAACATATGTGCTTCTGCATCATAAGAACAATCCAAACACAATAAACCAAGTTCAGAATATTTGTTTACAGATATATAGAATTATTATGTATCTAAACATCAAAATGAATTGACAATTCTGAAGCATTTTAGCTTTTTACTTGGTCTGACTTCAACATATCCCCAGTCTTCTGATCCATCCTCTGTTCTTGCAACCTTGGCAAACCCTCCATGAAAAAGTGAAGCAAAGAAAAGAACAGAGACAAGAACAACAACAACATAGGACTTTTCCATTTCAAAAACAAAACAAAAAATCAAATACCCAGTTCAGAGATTGAAAAACAATGTCCAAAAATGAGATTATCAACTGTTTGGGTATATATGTGTGTGTGTTTTTACAAGGCTTATTGGATTGGTACTATCATTGGTTTCCGTCTACAACAGAAATCCCAAAAAAAGTGGCAAAAGAATAGAAAACAAACTGAAAAAAGACCAGACACTTGACTTTACAGATATATCCAGTTGAATTCCAATTTATTTATATATAGATACGCAACATACGTGTACGTATAAACTATAGTACCATATATATATATATATATATATATATATATATGTATGTATAAATTGTGAAACGGTGGCGGAGGCACGGTGAATGCATATTAAATAGAATTAATAAAGATCTATAGTAAATAGCACTATACTCATAATTCGTTTTGGCGCTACTCTATATTAAGTAATCTCCGGTAGATATTAGATGCGCTGTCAATTTGGTAAGTATGTGCGAAGGATGCCCAATAAATATTTAATAAATAAGATATAAATATTTCTTACTTTAAATGTTTATAATGATAAATATAAAATCACTCAATTTAAATGAATATTAAATAAAATTTAATATTTCTACTTTAAATATTTAAAATGATACAGTGTCCAACAGTCCATAGAAAAAATATAATATCACTCATTATAAATGTGAATAATGATATATGATTCGGACTTATCTCGTTATGATCTGAGTAATTTTAATTTACTTAAGTTTGTCAAAGACTTATATTTTTGGAATCCAAATATGCAAGTAAGGTTTTTATAAATTTTGTTTCTAAAAATAATAATTACTTAGAATCCGATAGTTAGACAATTACGATTATTTGGATCAAAACTCCGTCAACTGATTACGGTTGGTGGCAATTGGATTAAAATTTAAAACCTGGTTTTATTCCCATCGATGGTTTGTAGAAACCAAACACTACTCATCCAAATGGTGCCCCGGATGAGAAAGGGAAGGATATTATTGTAAAGTGGTGGGAATAAATGCAGGGTTGGTGTGGAAAGAAGATTGCGTGTAAGAAAGAAGTTTTTAGTATGCTTTTAAAAAAAGGGTCATTCTTTAATTATTATTATTTTTTCCTTGTAATAATATATAATTTTAAAATTTATAAGTATATTAAATATTCTCTCTCTAGCTGTCTTTTTCTCTCTCTTTCTGGTTCTGTCTCTGCAATGAGGATATTTTGGAAAACAATCAAAATCTTGCCTTTCTTCAAAGGAAGAAGATCCCCATAAAGGGGATCGTGGAATATAATTATTACCTCATCTTTTTACGTAAAGAATGGGAAAAATAAATACTAAATAAATGTGTATAATATGGAGCCTCAAATCTGCAAACTGACTGTCTTGTCTTTTCTCCCATTTGGTTACATAAAATTCGGCACCCAATAAATATCTCAAATTAAATTATTTAACATATCAATGGAAATTTTTTATTTTATGCGTACAGATTTGGTTATATTCTGAAAAGTTATGACATTATTATATCTGTTCACCTCAAAGTTTGAAAGAATGATTTGGAATTCCATTTTTAAAAAATAAAAAATTAGTGTGACAAACAATTATTTTGTCAGTATATTAAATATGATAACAAAAAATGTTCGAGACTTTTATTATTTTTATAACAAAAAAAAAAAAAAATACAGTCCCAACTATTTATTTTAAATACTCCTACTTCTTGAATTTGTTTATATTTTTAACAATTCATTTCTTGGCATAAACCTATAGACCATCAAGTCATGAGTAACGTATAATTCACTTGAGATGAAAATGATGCATTAAAAAAAAGTACATTAGTTGAGTGTGGGTTCCTTGGGGCGGTAATTTGGTGGCTCATTTGTTGAGCAAACATATTTTTAAAGTCGAATGTGGCGATTTAGAGTGGAGTATATGGCCTTCGTAATTATTAAATACTCTTCTCTCAGACGACGTAGTTCCTATTATTTGAATGTTGTTTATTTGGCGTTTAAAAAAAAATAAAAAAAAAATGATAATGATCTTTCGAAAAAACTATTGATTATAGTGACATGATACTGAGAAATTGATTCGATATGGACATATACTCTCTCTCTCTCTCTATATATATGGACAGGTACTGAAAATTGAGAAGTACTACTGTATTTAGTTTGGAATTTTCTATGAGTGACTTCCAAAATTGGTACTACAATAAAAGAATAATGTAAATGGAGAAATTAAATTATGGAGTAAAATTTTCAATAGTGTCAACTTTGGCTAAATACAAATCTGAAGTAAAAATATGTTTGTGAATCGAATAAAATGGCTATAAAAATGAGCAGCTTGCTTATATCTTTACTAATTTTCGAATCACTAGCACATGCCATGGTGTATATGATAAGGTTGACAATTAAGATAAAAGATAGCCTACCTTCTTTGGCCGAAAATTCTGGACTTATTATATGAATTTAGTACAATAAAATAGGTGGGTGATGGCTGATTTGTTGTACACACCTCTCCAAAATTTGTTCGGTTGTCAAAAAATAATTTTAAGTGTGAATATGATGCAATAATGCCTTTATATATATTTGTATAATAATTATATATTTTTTACAACGGATTGAAAAGTAAAATTATCATTTTATAAAATTTGATAATAATTCAGTCAAAAAGAAAACGTTAGTGTATTTAGAAAAGGTGAACTTCAATAATTGAGCATGTTCCTACGCAGCTGTGTGTAATTGTGGTAGTGATGGAATTGAAGGAAGAACTACATTTTAATCATTTAAAGGAGCATACCATCTTTGAATAATTGCACATCCAATATGAAACTAACGGTGGGTGTGCACCACAATCATTAAATTAAAAATTTTAAATTATTTTATAGGGGTGACATGTGCCTTAAATAATGTCATATGGCATTAAATGAATTTTGGACTTCTCCTAGCCCAATTGTTTTATCTCTAGCTAGTCCAGAAAGCAAGTATTTTAGGGCATATAATTGTACCATAGACAGGGACGGAATTACATACAATTCAATTGGGATAATTGCCTACACTGATATTATTATTATTTTTTTTTTACAGTAATATACTTTTATAATTTGTTCATTTTCAGTAATATATCGATGAAATATTACCTTTGTCCTTCTGAAATTACTTTAAAAATACATTATTGCCCTTCTTACCTTAGCTCCATCTCTGATCATAGACATGGTATTTGGAGGATCAAGGATAACAAAAGATATTTATATATAAAATTTTTGGATGTACCCATCTTCGAGTTTCCCCTTCACTTCCCTAAAGAACTCACAAGTTATTTTCACCGATTTGAGGGGAAAAAACAAGAAGTTATTTCACAGAATGCAAAGTTGGGTTAATGTGCTCCGAATGTACTCCATTGTTGATGCAGGGTAAATGAGATGGGCCTGTCAACAACTGGTATCCATGACGGGACTAGGCCAGATCAATGCTTATTACATTCATGCAAGAAATTTGGCCAGCCCAAACCTAGGCCTGGATAATTTTGCCTCTACTAGTCCTAATGTGTATAACTCTGATTACATTTTTCCTGAACTCAAAAAAACTAAGAACATGACCGAGCAATTGTCCACTCAGGGACGGACCAGAAAATTATGTGGATTGGGGAAGACAATAATAAAATTTTAAAATAATTTTAGGGGGGTAATAATAATATTTTATGCCCCCGGGGGCTTGGAGCAGTTGGGAAGTCTTTGAGCGGCCACACACACGGCCTGTGATCGATTCTTGCCACTACCTTTATCACCTCCGGCTTACTTGGTGTATTCGATGGGGCGATGGGTGCACCCCCAGGTTTGTAGCCTGGGCTAGGTCCCTAAGGGACACTACCTAGGGGAGTTCTTGGTGCCAACTAAAAATAATAATAATAATAATATTTTATGGGTATATAATTAAAAAAAAAAATCAAATTGACCTAACATGACACTAGCTATAATATGTCATATCAACCAGAAAAAAAATTGGCAATGCAACTACTCTCAATTACACCCTAACATGACACTTGGTTGGATTCAAGAGCTGTTGGAGCTTGATTTTGAATTGAGCCGTTGAAGGTCTTCTTTAATTACTTGTAGTTAAAGAAAAATATTAATAATTTTTGATAAAAAAAACTTAATCTCGAACCATGTTGTTTGGTAATTCTTCAAATTTACCGAATCTTGAAGAAGAATGACACTGAGTTTGAAAGTATTTGATTATTATCTTAAAAGATTGAATATCTGAATTTCGAGGTTGCGGATCTTCTCTCCCGAATCTTCAAAAGTATTTGATAATTCATGGTGGACCGAATTAACGGTAAGCCCAAATCACACTTTGATACTATGCAATTTTTTAATATCTACATACACCACTACTTCAACAAAGTAGTCTCAAGTCAAAGTCAATTCTAGGGAATATGGTTTCACACAAACCTCAAGTTCGGATCAAACGACTCTACCACTCCCCAACACAAACTTAAGGGCCATAAAATGTTCGAACAAGTATTATTATCGACTCAAGTGTTTATTATTGATTTAAACACTTTTACAGTAGTGTCACTTTATCTTTTATTAAATATATATTATCATCTTTTATTAAAAATATATTATCAGAGAGCATATTTTTGTACAATATGAAAAGATTAGGAGTGTTTTTTAAAATTTTTTTAAATAGGGATAAAAGTGCTACACAAAGTATATTTAAAAGTGTTTTCTGCTCTTCTTCCATTTTTTATTAAATATATATTATAAAAAAGTTTTTATTAGATATTGATGATTGAAGTCAGGCAAAAAAATCAATAGTCAGATAGAATTTAGTATTGCATAGGATCCGAGCGATACATTCGTCTGCACAAGATTTTTTAGACTGATAAATCAATGGATGGTGAGATAGAATTTTGTAATTTTCAAGTATCGCAATTGCAAATGCCAAAAATTTGTTGCTATGTGCGGTGTGATTGAACATGTGGTAATGTCGTAGGCATAGCATATGGACATGTCCGGAAATTCTATACAAACTATATTCCAAGTCCAATATGGTATCCTATGCACTTTTGTGGTATGAATTAAATTGATTAATCGTATACCGACAAATGTGTGAGAGAGATTTGATAGAGAGTGGAGGACAGAGAAGATAATGCCACTCCACCTGTAAGATCCGCACAACAAATCCTAAGTAAGAAAATTCACTATAGCCACTGTATGTCAACAAGCTATGCTAGATTATAGGTTGGCTTAAAA